CTAGCCTATAGCTCTTTATTATTATTAATTTAATAGCTACTATAAGGAAGGGATTTAGAGAGTTAACCTTTTATTGCGATGCTGGCTTTTAGAACTAAGGGCTTTTTCCTAGCTAGGTGCTATCCTCACGGGTTATGCGAGCCCTTAACCTACCCTCGCCGCCGCGCCTCTTCAACTTCCTGACTACAGCAGTGACCCCCCCCCCCCCCCCCCCGAAGAAGCCAGCCGCAACCCCGATCTCACGGCATCGCGAGCCACGACCTTCCTCTGCAGCTTCGGCTGCTCGACCTACCTCTGTAGCCCCGGCTACTAGGGCTCGAAGTCTTATTTTAACCTCCTCTTATAGCCTCGGCTCCCTAATAAACGAACCTTTAGCCTCGCCCTAGCTTACCTACCGACCTAGCTTACTTACTAAGCTTAGCTCACGAGAGCCTCGAGCCTCGAGAGCCCTAATAATAGCGACGCCGCTACCTATATATCCCGCTAATAGGTACCGGGCTTAAGAGCCTAAATCACTAAAATACTAAATAGCCTAAGGGAATAAAGGAGGAGAAGTAATATATATTATAGTAAGGAGTAAGGAAAGTCTTAATTTTATATTAATTTAAACCCTTAGCTTAAATACTTTCCCTTCTTACTAAGGTAAGATATCTACCTTAGAGCTAGCTTAATATATCTTCTTACGCCGATTAGCGATCAGTAGGACCTATATGCATATAGGATATTAATAATATAATTAATTAATTAAATAGGATTATTACTTACGATCTACTAAGTCGATTATTACTTTATATAACCCTTTACTATTTAATTTCTATTTTAGATAATTAGCTTTATAGGTTATTACCTATAAGCTAGTATATAATCCTATCTATATGCTTAGTTATTTTATTAAGCGCTAGGCTTAATATATAATTTAGGTTTATATTAAATCTATATATAAATATAATATAGGTAAGTACTTAAATTAATACTCTATATAATAGTAAGGTAATATTAATACCCTTTCTATATAGATAAGACCTTTTTAATAAGAGAAAGTAGGTTATTATATATCTATTATTAAATAGAGATATATATAGGCCTAAAGAGTTCTAGTTAGAAATTATTAAGAGGGTAATAAATCGTAGTTATTAGTTATAAACCTATAGGTTATCTTAAATTTGCGCTATAGCCTCGCTGAAATTAGAGTTATATTATAATGAGTTGCTAATATAAAGAGATTACTAGAAATAGAAAGAGGAGGTTAGTTTGCCTCTAGTTAAGTTAATAACTAGGTCTAGGAATACTAGTAGCTCATAGGGAGATATTAATAAGCCTATAGATAACTTAGAGTATATATAATAAATTAGATATAAATCTAGAGGTATATTATGCCTAGATATTATTATAAAGATCCTATAAGATAAGAGGAGACTAATAGGGCTCTATATTAAGAAGTAACTAAGGGTATAATAGCTATGCCTTATATTAATACTATAAGTAAGAATGCTAAGGTATATAGTCTAGAGAGGAAGTTATCGCGAGGGTAGATTAAATATTAAAGTATTAAGTGGCCTATTTTCCCCTAATCGCGATAAAAATTACTAGGTAATTATAAGAATAATTAAAGGTTAGGATAATACGCGGTTAATAATATAAAAGGTTCTTTTATTAGTTCCTTAAGTTATTTTATAGCTTCTTAATAAGGATAAATTAAGATAATAAGCTATATATTATTAGGGTAAGGAGAGTAACTATGATATAGGTATATTTAATCTTATATATATAAACTAACTATAGACCTAAGATAATAACTCCTTTACCTTTATTAAAAATAGATTTTAGAGCCTCTTTGCTAGGCCTAGGAGCTTAGGGAGTAAGTATATTATTTAATTACCTAGGCGTATTAAGACCTTAGTAATAACTTTATTAAAACCCTTATAGAAAGCCTAGGCTCTTAGCCTTCCCTATGAGTTTGCTTAGGACTAGAATTAGATAGGCTATTATCTTCTTAGCTCCTATAGCTCCTATAGCTCCTATAGCTCCCATAGCTCCCTAGTAGCGCTAGCTTCTTTGCCTTCCTTATAAGCTTACTTAGGATAAGAATTAAGTAAGTAATTATTTACTTACTTAGAGCTTATATATCTTATTAATATAATTATTAATAATATAAAATAAAAGGTATATTAACCTAAGTAGTCCTAAAGATATTATTAGGTTTATAGCATAGGGTAGCCTATTGCTCCTAATATCCTTAATAACTTAGATAGGGTCCTTTATTCTAGTATTAGCCCGATCTTATTTAACCGTTATAGAAGAGAATAGAGGGTAAGTTATAAAGACTACTCGGGACCTTATATAGTATATAGAAGCTTTAAGAAAGTCTTATTCCGGGGATTATATCTCGACTTTAGACTTAAGTCTCATTTTAAGAGCAGAGGTAATAATTACCTAAGAGTCTTAATATTAGTTTTAATAAGGGTAAGGCTAATAAATAGTAAAATATATACTCGACTCAGCATTATATGGTTATTTTATATTATTATTAACCGTAAGTTAGATACAAAGAATATAAATTACCGGGGTGGTTATTAGAGTAATTCCTTTGGTTTTTCTTAGAGTAATTCCTTTAGTAATTATAGCTAATTAATTAATTAAGGCTATATAATTAGAGCTCCCGATTAATAAGAGCTCTTAATAGTAATAGATTATATGATTCTACTTAATTATATTTAGTCTAACTTAAAGGCTTATTATTACTTATATAGCGGTATTTACTCGCTGATAATCTAATATATAGAGGGCTCTTTTTTTCTTTTTTTTCTTAAGAGTAACTTAATTAAGGGCTCGAAGAAGGGGGGTAAGGGTAGATTTTTAAGTAACCTAATAGAAATAATATAGCAAACCTTTAGAGTAATATATAAAATAACCCTAGGCTAGTCTATATATTACTTAATATAAATAGATATTTTCGGTTTAGCTAGGGACTCTATTATTAATAATAAGGTATAAAATTTAAATATTAACCCTTTATAATTTATACCTATTAATTAAATTATATTAAAATAAATCTAGGTATTAAAGGTATTAAAAATACTACCTTAAAGTATTATTTTATTATATCTTCTTATATAAGTAAGAAGATATTTTATATTATTATTAAATATTAACCTACTTTATAGGTATATTATTATTATATTTAACTTCGGTATATATTATTCTAATGCCTATATTAATAAGTAATGATTAGAAATCGCGGCCCTAATATATCCTTTTCTAATATTAATACTAATAGTTTTATACCTTCCCCTCTTATAAGAGTATTTTATTATTTAATTATCGCGGTATTAAGCTAAGTATAGATTTAATAGAATAAAAATATAAGGTATTACTCCCTATTATATGCCTATATATTTAATATACCTTATATTACGAAAGATAGCCTTAATAGTAAGCCTATTTATTAGGTATATCTTAAGATAGATTTATTAAAATATTCCCCTTTACTTAAAAGAATAATTAATTATTATTATAATATAATAGGTAATCTCTTTTTTATTAGCCTAGGATAATTATCTTTAGCTATATAGGTAATTACTAAAATAATTAATTAAGGATCTTATAGCCTAATATTAGCTAAGAGTTAACTCTATAGCGACTAGCCTATCGCGATTATCTTAGCTTCTTTGATACTCTCTATAAGAGCCTCTTAGCCCCTTATTTACTCTAGTAAATTAATAGCGATATATAATATACTTCTAAGGCACTAGGGACCCTTTAAGACTAAGGGCTAAGTATAATAATAAAAGACTAGTATTTTTTATTAATATTTCCCCCCCCCCTCTTAAATAGAAGATTATAATAATTCTTACCTTATTAATTAAGTTTATAAAGGTAATAAGAGGTATATAATAAAAATATAAAATAAATTAGATATCTATTAGGCTAATAATATAAGATATATTAATACCCCCTGCTTAATTATCCTTATATACTAAGATTATAACCTGCTAATTTTATTAATAACTTATATTAATTCTTTAAATTTTAACCTAATATTAAAGATAATAATAAGTCTTAGTAGGAAGTAAACTATAAAAGTAGGTAAAGGAGTAGCTTACCCTTAATCTATTTTCTCCTTTTTTTAGGCATTTATAGCTAATCTCGGTAATTATTATTTAATAATAAGTAAAAGCTCGAGCTATTCTAATAGCTATAAATACTTATTATCCCTCTAGTAGCTATAATATATATCGGATTATAAGGAGAATTCGCCCTAATTTATCTAAGTATTCCTTACCCTTAGCGCTAATAATAAACTATTTATTCTTTTATTTTTCTATAATAAGAAAATATATACTTATTAAACCCTCTCTATAAAAGAATATTTCTCTGCTATTTTAAGAGAAAAAGCTAGACCTTAAGGTATTTAATATAATATACTTCTATATATATTACTATATATAAGATTAAAGGTAATAAGATCGAAGGTTATTATTAATTTTATTATAAAAAAGGATAATTTAATTATATTTAGTTAATAATATTAGATAATTATTTAATAGAAGCTATTATAAGTGCCTCTCTATAGGTAAACCTAATTTTAAGCCTTTTTTATTTAGAATTAGATAACTTAGGGATTCTTATTAGAGATTATTAATAATTTATCTTCTAGAGACTTGAGATATATCTACCTAATACTTAGGACTTCTTATAATTAATTATATTAGACTCTCCTTTAAGTATAATCCTCTATTAGCTAATATTAATTAATAGGGGGTTTTATGCTATTTAGTTAGGTGCTAATAGCGCATAAGTATTATTTATTTAGTTATATAAGCTTATTAAAGGTAATTAGCCCCGCTATTAACGCGTTATCATATTAAGAGGTTTAAAGTAAAAATGCTAAATTAATACCTTACTTTTCTTTTTAATAAAAGTTAGCTAGTGCTATACCTTATATAATAAATAACTATAAGAAGAGCTATTACTTAGTATTATTATGCTTGCCCCTCTTAATGCCTAGTTATAGCACCGCTAGGGCCTTAGTATTAATTACCGCGCGGCGAATAGGTAAATATTTCTCCCTAAAGAGAGAGGGTTATTAGAATAGCCGATATTAATTAATTGCCGATTAATAATATAACTATATATATTAAAGAGTTATTACCTATAAGTAATTTTCTATCTAGGCTATTAATAAGATTACCTTGCTAATTATTTTAGCTAGCTTTTAATAATTTCTATTATATTCCCGTGATATATTATTAAAGTTTTTAATAAAATAAGCTAATAGACCTTAGTTATTATATTTTTAAGAGGCTAGAAAGATAGAATTAAATAAAGAGGGGTAAAGGCTAGAAATATATAGGGAATTATAGCTAGCTATAATACCTATATATCTCTTAGACTATTATAGGCCTCATAGGTAATATTAATGCCCCTTATAAGCTTTTATATACTTAGATCCCTAACCCTTCTTTCTATATAATACCTTAGTATATTATTATTTCTTATTTTATAAAGTTAAGTTTTAGCTTTTAATAGAGTTATCTCTTAATATCCCTAGCGACTACGCGAGCTATATAATACTATATTATATAATTTTTATAGTAAATCTTCGCTTTTCTATAGTCTTAACTATCCTTAGTACTTATATTTATTTTCTATCTTAAGTAATCTTAATTTATTAGGCTTATTACTTATTAAGGTAGGTATATTCTTAGATCCTTAATAAGTAATAATATCTTCTCGCTATTATTTTAAAAGTAATAATATCTATATTTTAATATATTAAAATAAGGTTAATTAGGGCTTTATATAATATTATCTCGGGGTTAAACTTAATTAATATATATAAGAGAATAAAGTCTTAGGTTAATAAGCATAATAAGGGATAAAGTATAAAAGAATAGGTATAGAATATCTCGGGAGTAAGAATTAATATTATAGAGAGATTTTATAGATATATTTTAGTACTAAATTAAGAGTCTAATATAAATCTTCTTAGGTTATATTATAATAACCTTTATAGTAATTAATATAAATATTATTAATAATACTTACCCTCTAATAGTTTTTATTATATTTATTAATTTATTAATATATACTATTATCTATATAATACCTATATAATAAATTATACCTAGTATATTATTAAGCTTACTCTAAGAAAGTATTTTTATTTAAGACTTAAGATTTATTTTATTAAGTATATAACTTTAATTAGAATAAACCTAAATAAATAACTAGCTAAGAGACTAAGTAAGCTATATTAAAACCTTAATAGCTTAGTTATCTTATAGAATATATTCTAATTTGCCCCTAAAGTAATTATAATATTTCTCTTAAAGAATCCTAAAAATATAAATTAACCCTAATATTATGCTTAGTAGTTAAAGTATAGGATATAGCATCGTTAATAAAATATATATCTTATTAATAGTAGAGGGGGACTAAGGCTACTTAGAGGATAATAATTTCTAATTCCTTATAGTATATTACTTTTTATTTTATTTAAGTATATAGGTATAATAAAATTCTTTATAGTAAAGGAATATAATACTTTTATATTCTCTAAGTTAGACTTACCTAAGATTATTATAAGTATAGTATTAATAGCTAGGTAGGCCTAATAGTTAATTATATATATAGGAGCTATAATAGAGCTATTAGGCTATTACTTAAGTAATAGGCTATACTTAACCTATAGGTTAGCTATCGAGGGAAAGATATATTACTTTTAGATTATTAGCTAATTACTAATTAGCGGATATTTAGCTCTATTATTATCGCTATATCTACCCTTAATTATAGACCTTATAATAAATTAGGATAGCGAAGTAATAAATTAGAGGTTAATAACTCTAGGTAGGTTAGTCCTTCCTTCCTAGGATTTATAGGCACTGGCGATTATAATCCTAAGTAGGTAAAAACCTCTTATTAATACAATCTTAAATTATTTCCCTTAGGCTTACGCGGTAATAGCTATATAAGATAAATCTATCTATTATAGTATATAAGTAAACTATCTTAATACCTAATAGGTATTATATAATTAGAGGAAGAAATTAATAGCCCCTTATAGTAATAGCCTTTAATAAATCCTAAAGAAAGTAATAACCCCCCTCCTAAGTAAACCTATCTTATAAAGGTAATAAATTATAGCTTTATAATATAAATATCTCGATATAGACCCTATTATCGCTCTAAATAGTATTAGTTATAGTGCTATTAAGGCAATAATAATTTATTTTTTCCCTTTTAGGCGCTATCTCTTAGATAGATATTAGAACTTAATATAACTAGTTAGATACCTAGTTGCTCTTTCCTTAAGTCTAGCTCGCGCACTCGCGTATATACTATTACCTTACTTCTATCGCGTCTTTTCTCCCCTTTTCCCTCTTTTTTCTTTTCTTCTCTAAACCGGCCTTAGTATTATAATTATTTTATATCTTCTTTTTGCTCCTATTTATATTATCTATGTAAATATAGCGTCTCTAGATAGCTTTTTTATTTTAGAAGCGGTTATTTAAGGCTCTTATATATAATACCTCTATTAAGGTCTATCCCTTTGGCTTACTATTAGGCTTAAGTCCTTAGATATTATCTAAAGGTTTATTTCTTTTTATTCCTTTTCTCTCCCCGAAGTAATTTTCGAGACTCTTATATATAATATCTCTATTAAGGTCTATCTATTTAATTTATTATTAGCTTAAGTTTTTATTAATTATTTTCTTTTCTCCCCTTTTCTCCTTTATCTATTATATTTTATATCTCTATTAACCCTCTTTATTTCTTAGTTAGTTTTATAGACGTCGGGATAGTATTATTAAGTAAGTTATAGATACCTAAGAGGTCTATATTGCTAATATTAATTGCCCTAGAGAATAACTCTTGAAAGGCTAAGGTAGCTTTAAAAGTATCTAGCGCTAGTATAAGGGTCCTATGTCCTAGAGCTGTGCCTGTACCTGCCCCCTCTGTCTCCCCCGCTCCTACTTCCTCCTTCTCCGCCGGTCTATCATCCGGTTCCTCCGAGCCTAACTCCGCTATCGTCCCTATCCCCAAAGGTATAATAGCTTTTTCCGAATTATTTTTCTGCCTCTGACTGCGTTTAGTTGGCGGCTCATCCTCAAAGGAGGGCAAAAGACCTCGAGTTACCTCTCTCTCGCCCGACCGCCTATCCACTTTCGACAGACTCGAGAAGAGACAGCGCGTCGAGCATGAAAGCGAGTATGAGGACGACGGCAGCGATAGTGATTCCGAAGATGACGGCTGTTCCGATGTTGTTGATGTTGCTGAGCTTGATGATATCGAAGACCTCGAGAAGCTCTTGAGTCAGGATGAAGATATCGACCTCAAGGACCTACTCGCCGACGACGAGCCAGATACTACTGTCGAACCAGACGGCCTTATCCGCGTGGGACCCCAACCTCTGCAGCCTCAGCAGTTCATTCGTTCGGTGCCTCGTGGCAAGGCTAGGCATATGCTCAGAGAACGACTGATGGGAGCCCACCACCTGACCGATCGTCATCTGCCCGGCTCGAGCTCGACCATGCTGGAGCAAGAGCGAAACGCCATGCTGGAGAGCCTCATGAGTTCCCTGGACGACCACTAGGACCGGTCTGAAAGCGACATAGTCTCCCGGGTCTGCGACTACTCCGGGCATTAGCTGTCTTGGATAGTCGGTCCTCACACCCCGTCAATTGAATCTGTCTACCCCTTCGTCGCCTCGGGAGGCCGCATCGACTACCACGCCCGGCCCAACGTTTATCTCGTCAAGGCGGCCATCAACTTCGCCAAGCGAACCCATGCTCCGATCGTGCCGCCTCTTGCCGCCGCCTGGATGAATATTCACGATGAGCCGAACTTCGAGGAGCGCCAAGCCCAGTGGTTATGGGTCTATAACTCGGTCACTAACGCCGCCACCCTCGAAAAGATATTCGGCTTGATGTTCAAGCACGTGGACCAGTCGAATATGTGGTCAAAGTGGAGTCTCGCTAAGCTGAGAAGTATATTGGAGACACTGCGCACTGGCACTAAGACTACCGAGGTTACCCAGGCGCTATCTTAATACTCATCGGATGCCCTCTTCACTACTAGGTGGAGAAACCGCAAGCTATGTCTTGACCTGCGTTAGGGATATATTTAGCAAGGTCAATGCATATACCCCCTAATGTTATAGGTCGCTCAGAAGTATAACTTAATACTAGCTAAGTTTAAGTATTACCTTATTATTAAGGCGCCTAATAGGAAGGAGAGGGTCTTCTATCCCTATTATATGCTCTCGAGAAGTTAAGCTAAGGCATACGGCTGGGATTAGGGGACTATTATCGACCTTTGTATTTCTATAGTCGCCTAAATAAAGAAGTCATATAATCGCTATGCCGAGGCCGCTAGGTATAGCGAAGATATCGATAGGCGTGTTTATATATTCTAGATGGTTAACTACTTCTGCAGTAAGGTCTAAGCCCTTAAGAACCAATGGCCTAGCGCTAGTGAGGAAGAGATCCGCTTTTATATTCTCGACCGATAGAACCTCCCTCTCGTTCCCTAGAAGAGGTATACATTTAAGGCCTCACTATGCAAGGGACTTGACCATAGTATTGTAATAAAGCTTAGATATACTATAGCGAGTAGAGAAGCCTTTGACCCTATTAATGATATCGACCTCACCGAGTCTACTATTAAGCTTAATACTTGGTTTACTAATTGCGGTATATATAATTATGTAACTACCGACTGGGAGTTTATCCGCAAGACTTTTGCTACTATCCTATTGCATCATAGCTTCTGGCGGGTTAATTTGGCTCTTGGCACGACGGTTTGGAAGGGACGATAGGATCGTTCTATTAAACCTAAGGCCCCCCAGCTAGCCTTCACTATGCTAATCGTTCTGGTCGAAGCGTGGGTGCCCGCTGATATTAGTCGGGGCGAAGTCGAGTTTAAGTGCGGCGAATGCAGCCAGTCTTGCGCCAGTGCCGGGTCCCTGCTCAACCACTACCGGCAGGCTTATATTAACGAGGGAGCTTGATGCACTTGGGAGGAACCCGCCGCCGACCCTCAGTAGAACGAGATCGATCGCGAGTACTGGATCGACGATGCTACGAACCGGAAGTACGTCTGCGACAAGTGCCCGAAGAACTACCGGCTTCGCAAGGGACTGCTTGTCCACCAGCGGATAGCCCATGACAAGGTTCGAAAACATCTCTGCGAGATTTGTGGCAAGCGCTACATCAGTCCGGCAGGCCTGAGGAACCACCAAGCTGGTGTTCATCGCAGAGAGAGGCCGTTCCCGTGTAGCGAGTGCCCTTCAGCGTTCCTCAAGCAGCATTTCCTTGACACGCACATTGCTACGGTGCACCGCAAGGAGAGGAAGTTTATCTGCAAGGGCTGTGGCAAGGGCTTTGGGCGAAAGGCAGACATGGAGGCGCATTTCAAACGGCAGCACAGTCAAGCCTCGGCCCGCACATGCGACGAGTGCGGTGAAAAAGTGAGCAGCCCTTCGGAGTTGGTTGCCCACAAGAATCGCAAGCACAATCCCGAGGCCAAGTATATGTGCGACGAGTGCGGTGCCCGGTTCAAGCGCCCACGTGACTTAAAGAACCACGAGAGCCGCCACTCGGACGCAAGGCCTTGGAAATGCCAGTTCCCCGGCTGCACCAAGGACTACAAGACTAAAGACGAGTTGGGAAATCACGCAAGGAAGAAGGGTCATCGTCTCTGACCGCTTGATGCCTTTTCTTCTTTCTTCTCTGGGCGTTTATAGGTCGGTAGTCTGGGTTGGTGTTGTTATCTTTCTTTGTTATCTTTGGGAAATGGTGTTATTAAGGGTTAGAGTGGATAATGTGATGGGGCAGGAGAGGTGAGATTAGAATGGGAAATAAAAATGGAAACAGAAAAAGGCGTATGTAATGGAGTTTAATGATTTTTTTTTACTGGAATATATATTTATGGGTTAAAGAGTTTATATGGGAATATAATAGCGTTGCTGTCTTGGGCTAAACTTGTCTTTTAATATGGATTTATGATATAAAGGTCCTTATATAGCCCTGGTGCTGTTTATGTAAGTCACGTCATCCAACGATTCCATCTGCTTTTGTCTCTCACCACGCCAAAGCCCTTCCCTTCTATGCCATGTGATCAATCTGACTAACCTGACATGTCTCTTAGACTCCCATCTTCCACCCAGAGTACTGCCGTGACCGAGTCCGCGCCGATGACCTCACAATGACCCCTGAGCAATGTGCCGATGTCTTGATGACTGTCCTCATCCAACCCGAGTACGGTGATGGTAACATCGTCGAGACTATGCTGATTGGAACTCGGGACAACCCTTCTGTTAATGTCCGCGAGGTGCCCCTGGAGCTTCTTTATCCCACTGTGGGACCTGTGGGACAGGACAACCATTTGTTGGAGGAGGAAGAGAAGCTGGCCGATCAGCTTGTCAAGCAAGGCATGCGTAACTAAATACCTAATACCTACACGGAGATAAACCTAGATTTAGAACTAGATCTCCGAAAATCGACGAGACTGGGTAATTCCGGTCTGAATTTCAGTCAGCAATGAGTTGAACAATTACGATCCTTTTGGCATGCGGCTTTAGTGCTGCCAAGGATGACACTTGCTCCAATGCCCGGCCCTCCTATGACTGATAATAGAGTCTTCAACAGACATCCAGCTCATATTAGTAAGGATGACTCTACTAGGCTCTTTCTGGAGGTTGCTAAGCGATATCCGAACCCCGGGCAGCTGTCAGATCAATGCTGAGATGGAACTTTCGCTCTGTTCCTACCCTAACATCAGTGGCTCAAGACACGTTAGATGCTGACGCGACCTTGACTCTATTAAAAATAGTAACTTGCAAGAATCGGTAGTCATCTATCTGCGCCTCAAACTGTCAACGCTGTCAAGATTAGCGGCTGACACAGCCTGTCACTTAGTCTTAGAGGGACGGGCCGTACCTGCAACCATCTTGACACAGGCGCTAATAACTGACTTGAGAATGGCTCAAGGTGATCAGGCTGTCTAGTAATTGTAGCTGTGCTCATTGTACATTCACGATGCGGCAGCACTTTCGGCTCAGCTCAAGACACTCATTTTAGGTGCATGTTACATGGCCACCTTTTGGCTGCATAGCAGACCACACTGAGTTAGTGTCGGACAGGAGAAAAGCAGGCTCTGGCATGAAGCAAGTCGGAAACCCCCACAGCCTGGCGGCTGAGTGAGCAGCGAAACCAGTCACTAATTTAAAAGCTGGAGAAGTTGGGGGCCAACACCCCGACTTGAGGCACATGCTGACACAAGAACCGATGTTATTCCATTTAGGAAATATACAAGGGGGCATACACGATCCCATATTGTAGGTAAGCTTGAAAGGCGGTGTCAGTGTTATCAATCCTTCAGTGACATGCTCAGCCACCATGGTTCGGTATCGGGCATACTCTCTAAATCCAGTTTGAGAACCAAAGGACCAACAGACGCAGCGATACTCCACACCATGCAGGTTATCGCATGTTGTAAGTTGTTGGTTGTGTTGGTTGTGTTGGCTGTGTTGGCTGTGTTGGCTGCACCTCTGTTTGAGCCTGCCAGCACAGCCATCCATGTCTTGGGGGGTTTGACTCAGCCTCTTGGACACTTGACCAACCGATTGAGTCTAGAATAAACATGCCAAGTCTGATCTTGCAGAGTTATACCTAATTTGATAGAGTGTGTCTCGTTTTGTTCATTTTCTATCAACTTCTCGCTTCCTGGAATATGGAACTCGCGTCAATCTAGCCCAGCTGCCCCTGGTCTTGGCCCCCAAAACGCGGCATTTCTGCACCTTCACAGCAGGCTCTGCCCACAGGGGTCGCATTTGCATCAGAATAAGCATTCAAGAGCGTCAATGGCGCTTACAGCAGACGCGAGACTGGCCCGTCCCCCCACAAAGGAATCAACCGAAACAGAACCCAACTGTCGGGAAGTGTGATGCAATACCCGTCCTGCAGGCCTTTAAGCTGTCAGCCTTACCAAAGACTGGACGATGAATGTCACCGCCGCATTCTTGCAGGAGGATTGAGCTACGGGGCGAATTAGGCTTGTGCCGGGATGGTCCTGGACCCGGTGACCCGGGCCAAATCCGCGACCCTGGCGGTTAGAAGATGCAATCCTGCGAGTTTGATCCTTTAGCTTGACACACTCAGTCACAAGGCATTTTCAACTTTGTTGGTATGCTTAACTGGCCCGCCCTTGGACTCGCGATGTAATTCCACAGTCGCGTCTATATATGAAACCGTGTCGCCCGATGCATTGAGGTTATCGTATGGTTAAGCACACGATCAGCCATTCACTCTTTCTTGACTCTTCTTACTTCCCTCGGAAACCCTTGAAACGATTCTTCTCTTCATTCAACTCTCTCTTTTCATGATGCGAGCAACATCCTTTGGCGCAATCTGGGCTGCCCTGGTGGCGCCCATCCTCGCGAGAGGTGTTTACCTCTCCGAGCGAGATCTCAAGGCCCTGCCTCCTGTCCGAAAGGATATGCTTCAGAAGCGGGCAGACTTTTCGGAGAACATTAACTTCTCCGAGGTCGACAAGGACATCATCAATGTGTAAGTGCTCTTCTTCAAGGTCGTGCACCCTTAGTTAACTGATGTGGCAAGTGACTTGGCGGACAACAAGCTTCAGGTTCACTGTAACAAGTGCGAGGTTGGAGGCCGAGTCGACGCAGACTTTAATGCAAACATCCTGAACCCTCCCGAGTCCGAGTTCAAGATCTCCTTTGCCGAGACAAAGGGCCACATCGACATGACTGTCGCTGTTGGCTCTGGCGCCGAACAGGTCATTCCCCTGTGGAATACCCAGGGTGTCCCCACTGATGTGAGCTTAGTGAATAGGAGAGCATCGTATCCAAAACTAACTGTTGTGTAGGAAGCTCAAGGCCTCGCCCTTTTCTTGGAGTTGGTGGTTTCGCTCGACGGTGAGCTGGAGGCGACTGGCGGCTTCGAGTTCACCATCCCAGAAGGCTCCTGGCTTTCGGTTGACCTGAAAGGAGATATTGTCGAAACCAGCTTGTAAGAGCCATCATTGACTGTTCTATGCATGTCAACTAACACCTGTTCAGTAATGGCGCAACGGGCAACTCCCTTGAGTGGGATCTCGCCAGCGGCTCCTCGACGCTCAAAGTCTCGCTCCGCCTGCGAACTGAGCTAGGCGCCGGTAGTAAGCTGGTGGATCTGAGGGCCGCGGTGGGAGTCTTCATGAACCTCATCGAGCTTGTCGTCGACTTTGAAAGGGACGACAACAACGCGGTCTGCGTCCTCGAGGCTACTGAATCGTTCAACATCAATGCTGGCGTGTATGCCGATATCAACCTTGATATCGGCCAGGCTACTCTGGGCCCTAACCCTACCGCGGTGACTACTTTGTTCACCGGCCCGACAGCGGCTCAGTGCCTGGAGCCTGCTGCAGTGACCGGGGGCAATGGGGTTACCCAGTCCAAGGGCAGTGCTGTTGTCACACAGACTCAGGGTGGCGCTATTGCCACTGACGACTGCGATGAGGCAGTTGAGACTGGAGTTGTTGGTCCCAGCCAGAAGCAGCCAACGGTGTCAACTTTCAGCACCTTCGTCACATCACGCAGGGTTGCAACTGTCACTGAGCATGTTGTTGTCACTGTCACGGAGATTGCTCAAGCCCATACTACTATCTGCCCCGAAGACGAATGATGAATTATGTCAAGATTTAAATTGATAACCGCCTTGTCTTTTACACGCCTGGAATGTCGCTGTCTTCAGTTTCGGCTTGATTGGCATGCTACAGTCAGGTCAACTTATCAGATCGCCCCATTACGTGCCGATAAACTTCGGAATGCCTCTTGATTTTGAGCTAGTTCACAACTGGTGCATCTTTATTGTGACGTCAAAAGAGCGGCCCATTTGTACCATTCTGGCTTGGCCCAAGAGGACCCCTTTGACCCCCACAATCAGGGCGGCTAATGGTAAGGCATTTGTGGCTATGTGTGTGGAACGCAGCTTATCTGCATCGACTAGTTGATGCAAGGACCTGGATTCTAGCAGATCCACAACAAGGTCAATGGGAGTCTCGAGGGGGGCAGAAATGTTAGATGGGTTCTCTGTTAGTGATTAATTGACGATTTGTGAAGCCTTACTGCTGCTTATCGGATCCCGTTTTATACCTTTGAACCAAGGACGAACAAACAACTCGATGACGATCACGAGAGCGCTACCGACTCCCGCCGTCGTCTCACCGAGATCCGACTTCAGCTTCTGCTTTGTGCCACCTGGCCACATGCCACTAACGGCCAAGACCCATCGACGTCCAACTGAGACATTCTGAAAGCCACCAATGAATCTCTGTATGCGAGACTATGGACCTTTCCCCTCTTCCTTGAAGACTCCGCACGCAGAACCTTCCATCCCAACAACGTGTCTGTTCGAGACCTTCCCAGGTAGGCTACCATTTCGTCCTACCTACCTTAAACGCATACTTATAGGGTCTAGGCCTCATTGGACTCAGCATTGCCACACATACGCCACGACACGACACCGACGGCACCAACTTTGACCTCACTCACCATCGTCACCATGGCTTCAACTACCTCCTCAGACACCATTGTTCTCTACGACATCGCCCACAAGCCCCCTGTGGAGGAGTCATGCTGCTCGCCAAACCCATGGAAGGGTCGCTTTGCCCTCAACTTCAAGGGTGTCCCCTACTCTATGAAATGGGTTGGTCTGCCCGACATCTCAAGGGTCCGTCAGGGTTTTGAGCTCCCCGCCGGTCGCAAGTTGGCCGATGGCAGCGACTTTTACACACTTCCCATCCTCGAGGACCCTGCCACCGGAGTCAAGCTTGGTGACTCGTTCGATATTGCTGTTTGGCTGCAACAGACGTATCCTGACTCTGGAGCTGGTGATTTGTTCCCTGAGCAAACTCTTGACTTCACGTTTGTGCCCTTGTTTGACTTCCCCGCGCCCTTGTCAGAGCAGTCAGATGGTGGGTTTCCCGAGTACCTTCGTTTCAACACAAACGTCGATACAGCTTTTAGCTCTCACGTTCCTCTGATGGTTGAAAACATGCCTCTTGATCCCGCTACCGCCGAGCAGAGCAAGGCCGAATTCGTCCGTCGTTCTGGTCTCAAGTCTTGGGATGACTTCATGCTGTCCCCCGAGGCGCGCACAGGGATCTTGGCCTCCTTCAAGAACATGCTGGGTGATTTAGCCAAGCTGTACACCAAGAACGCCGATGGACCTTTCTTGCTCGGCCAAAAGGTCAGCTATGCGGATTTCATCGTTGGCGCCTGGCTTCGCATGTCGATGATTACTCTGCCCAAGTCTGAATGGGAGGATGTCAAGAGCTGGCATGACGGCGTTTTTGGGAAGTTGCACGATGCGCTGGACAAGTACGCCGAGGTGAAGCCCGGTGTGAAGGCGTAAGGGTACGCGGGACATTGGAACAGCCCTGTACACTATGAGTTTGTACGTCACACTGGGTACCAAAGCCTCGCCAGGGCCTTGGTTGTTAAGAACGCTATCAGGCATCATGATCATCCTTTTAGCATGGAAACAGGGATCGGGCACTAACACAGCTCATCAGGCAACTTGGGGGTTGGGTTGAAGGGGCATCTGCTGGCCTCGGAAACATTACTGTTGAAGTGTCAAGAAATATGAAGACGAGCAGCACAATAGCTGATAAAAAGAAAGGAGTGGTTCTTCCTCGACTTGTAAAAAGACACTACTCCTTATCTTTCTTGGAATGGCGATGAGAGTGAGCCCATTGAGACACGAGGTTATCAACGTTTATGTTACGCTACCTAAAAGAGTAGACACGCTTTGCTATCTTAGTACAACTTTTCAAACCAGCACAAACTTTCGATCTACAGCCCTATCACGCATGCCTAGAGATTCTCCGGCCATGATGCCATGTATGTACGAATCTCCAACCAGCCTCCACTTTGACTGCTCCCCAGGACGAAGAATGAAGGGCGTTCTGGCACCATGGAATATGGCTGCTGTATCTCCAGGAGCCATGTCATCAGGCCCAATACCAATCCAGCCCTTGCCAGTGATGAAGAATGACCGACCACATAGTGTGTTGTGTGCTGCTTGTGTGTATCTCTCATGATTGTGTCGATGAGGGTCCAAGTAGATGATACCCCCTTTGTAGTGACGCCATTCACAATCCATCGGTGCATCTTCGCGAGGATCATAGGCCTCGTGGTCTGTTGTTGTTTTCTTCTTCTGCTTCGGGACCAAGGCCTTGTCCGACTTCTCGGCCTCATTTCCGTCTGTGATGAGTCCTGCTACTTTAGCTTCTTTCTCCTTCTCTTTGGTCTCCTCGACGTGGGACAAGATTGTCTCCATAAAATACGGTTCCAACTCGTCATCAACGCGACTATGCCAGTGAGATTGAACCTCGTAGCTCGTTGGACCCCATTCATTTTCGGTAGCTCCAGGCTTGAGGAACAAGCCAGTGCATGAGGATCTGTGCAGGGACTTTTCATGCTTCTTGACAATGCGATGAATGGCTTGATATTTGGTGGAACGCTGATCTTCTGACTCCTCAGCTTGATCTTCATCCTCGAGGTTGGTCCACCAGTCTAGAAAAGTGTGCATGTCCCTCTCACGGGCATTTCGTTTCATGAGTTTTCCGTTGTACCTGTCACGACGCTGGTACTCTCTTAGAAGGATGTCGTTGAACGCATGGTCCGCAATGAACGTGAGGCCGAGAGCCTGCCAGATCCTCTCACCCGTGATGTAGCGCCCAGACATTCCGAGAACATTGCACAGCTCTGCAAGAGGAGGCATGACCCGTTGCTCCCGGGCGTAGACGGTGTCAAGGCCGGGTATCTTGTATGCGACTGATACCGTGTCAAAGATGAAGCCATTCACAGAGCACCATGGGTGGTTAACAAACGGCTTCTGTTCTTGCGGTGGACCACCAGCGCTAAACCAGGGCACCGAGAGAAACGGCCGATGACGCATGGGAATTCTAAAGTCTGGGATCCAACTTTGGTACAGCTTCAACATGGAAGCCACAGGTGGGCGAAATGCCCCAGCGCAGTGAAGTAGGTCCAGGTGTTCCTTGTACTGCAGCATTGTCTCCGCAAAGTCGGCATACATGTGCTTTGGGTCGGCTTCGTAGTCGACGACGATTGGGATGGACTCTCTCGAGGGCCTCAGCTGCTTGCGTCTCTCGCTACTTAGCAAGCCCGTCATTTTGTCTCTTCCAATAGGAGCTATGCTCGCATAAGGAGACTTAACATCGTTGGCCATGCCCAAGAACGCGTAGATGCGGTCCCTATCGTTAGTGCATGAGACACCGCCGAAACGAACAAGAAGATCAAGGATTCCCATAGGGTACGTGGCTGTCGAGTGTTCCCAGGTTTCGACGGCCAGCTCTAGGAACCTCATGTGATCCAGTATGCGACGATCAAAGTTGAAGGTGCTCTTGTTCAGGATGAAGAGGGCATGGTGCAGGGCGTGACTGCTGATGTCGAGATTACCGCAATAGAAGTGAGCAGCTTTGGTGACGGCCTCTTGGATGACCCATCGTCTCGTGAACCACTTGAGACGAAGAAATCTTTGTATCGAGGGAAAGTCTTCATGTCCAAAGAACCTCACCATCTCTTCACGGATACTCTCATCGGCTCGCTCGCTGGTGGTGCTGGCTTCGTGTCCCGAGCTGCTGAGACCCCAGAAGAAGTTGATGCATTGGTCCATCTTCTCAGCATCGCCCAGCCATACTAGAACAGCACCGGCATTGAGGTAAATCTGGCCCATCCGCTGGACTTGTTGGCCTAACTCCTTAGAGTCTTTTTGGTTGATGCACACAGCGTCAGCCCAGAGCCTTCTCTTCATGTCGGGCTTTCGGAAACGTCGGAGGGCCTGGTCCAACGTCGGAGTGATGAATATCTTTGATTTGCCGACATACAGCGTGTGGGAAAAGACGGCAGGACCCCATGTGTAGGATATGGCATCGTAGCGGCTGTCCCATCTCGTGATGCTGACATCGTAGTGTTCGATGGTGCAGTGTAGGTCTGCATCTTTATCTGCGGCTGGCTCGAGGACGATGACACGAATCATGAATGAATCGAAAGGTGTAAAGCTATGGTCGAGAATAGAGATGTCTTGATTGCCGAGGCTTTGGTAGACGTAGTCTTTTGGGGTGGAAGACGGCATGGTGATTGTGGAGCTGGAGTTTACATCGCGAGCTTCTGGAGACAGGCGTTTTGAGAAAGACGGTCATTAGATACACCACCGGCTCTTACAGGGTATTAAGAGGGATAATTTTGGAATATCACCTCGCCTGAAGCTCCAAGGCAGAACATCAGGAGTCTTGCATCAATTTTCTGCCTTGCTCTGACAGCTGTTCAAGATCGAAACAATAGTTTCAGTGGCGATATCCGGACTCTTCCACACGATATGCGTCTTTCAACCCCCCAAAGGTATGCTCGCTTATGATAGGCGGACGGCTTGTGACATCCCGAGACAGATATCACTAGTGCCTGTTCTAGACGCCGTCCTTCCTTGATTTGGGAATGGGCTGGCACCCCTCAAACATGGCGTCGTGGCAGGACAAACGCCTCTTTTAACCAGTCAGCTTAAGTCGCATTCTGCCTTGAAGAGGCCTCAAGGCAAGAGCCGCATTGCTTTGGTTTCGATATCTTTAGACGCACGGGTTATGTGAAAAGTCTAGGTAAAATCCCCTACTTTTTCATGCCCTACAGCAACTTTATCGTCTACTACAAACCAGCAAAATGGGTAACTTGGACGACATTACCCTGATGCCACTATCCGAGGCATTTTATGCTCTTCCAAAGCTCAAACCAACGGCCAAAGTGATTCAGCTCTCATCTGGAGATGAGTTGGAACTCTGCTTCGAAACCGAGGTTGACGGATTGTTTGATGACGATGCACCTTTGACTGAGCCGTGCCGAATTATTTGGGCGCCATCTAGCCTACTCGAGGAGGAGGAGGACTCAATAGAAGATATCCTGCACTTGATCGATGAGGAAGCCTTTGACGAAGAGTTTGAACACGGCCTTGAGAGCGCAGGTTCTTCACAGGATGCATCGAAGGGGGTTGCGGCCAGGGTAGACAAGATTCGTGAAGGATGCAACGAGTTTGAGAAGCAGCTATTGAACGCTGTCGTGCTACCTGGTTAGTCCCGTGGCCAATATTTCAGTGTCTAGCTAATACCGCCAAGATGATATCGACGTCTCGTTTGACGATGTCCATGTCGACCCTGTAGCCGTCACCTCACTCCGGGCCTTGACAGCCTTGGCAACCGCCGCACCACTCGCATTCACTTACGGCCTGCTCGCTAAAGAAAAGATTCTTGGTGTCCTCCTCCATGGCCCTCCTGGTACTGGCAAGACGATGCTCGCCAAAGCTGTCGCAAAGGAAGCCCACGTCAGCTTTCTGCCCGTCTCCGGTGCTGACTTTCTCTCGAAATGGGTGGGCGAGGATGAAAAACTCGTCCGCGCCATCTTTTCCATTGCTCGCAAACTTGACCCTTGCGTCATCTTCATTGACGAGGCTGACTCTGTCTTTCGTCAGCGTACAGAGGACGATAGCTCCTGGAAGAGAGACCTCGTATCGCAATTCCTCCTGGAGTGGGACGGAGTTAAAGGCGGCGCCAAAGGGGGCTTTGTCATGGCAGCTACAAACAGAATGTCAGACATTGACCCAGCCGTGCTACGTCGTCTGCCGAGGCGTATCTTTGTCGGCGTTCCCACTGCGGCTCAGAGAGAGGGTATCTTGAAGATACACTTAAGAGATGAAAGTCTTGGCCCTGATGTGACCGTGGAGGAGCTGGCCAAGTTGACGGTCTCATATTCAGGTTCAGACCTGAAGAGCCTTTGCGTTTCAGCAGCCATGGCGGCAGTTTACGAGTCAATATACGGTAACACCAGCTTGAGCGGCAAGATCAAGGCGGGAAGAAGGACAAGGAGAAAACAGATGGAGCGGAAGCTGTGCATGCGTCACTTTGAACAGGCCATGGGCGAGATTGTGGCCACCTCTCAGGGTGGTTCGGCAAATGTTGCGTCTCCGCTGAAGAAGAGTGTGGGACAACAGGATCCTGGTATTGATGGGTCGTCGCTTGCAAAGTTCAAGAAGTTTGGGAATATGTATGCTGGAAATGGGAATGATAATTAGGGAGTTACGGTAGATATCATCTTGAAATCGGATTGATGAACGAGAATGTGTTTCATAGCTGATATTTCTGAGTGGAAATCCGATTAAAACCAACCTCAAATAGTGAGAAATGGGCATGAAGTGATATAGCTCCACATGCAGACACAAATAGATGTCTCTTCAACTTGAAATAGGCCTTGAGCTGGGCGGAGGGAGCTCAGGTGTCGACCGAGGTCGGCTGCGCGTAGGCTGAGGTGTCTCTGAAGGCCAGCTTTTTGGGTCGCATAGAGTACTCACACAAGAGGGCCTGGTCCATTCCCGCACTACAAAGCTCAGCCTCAATTTTGGACATGGCAAGTTGGATAGGCTCACTGTTAGCTAACTTGAGCTAAGACACGAGTTGCCCCAATCACCCGTTCGAGGTACCCAACAACGGAGGTCTAGCTAGAAAAGGATATATCAAAACATAGGTACATTTAGACAAGGCTCAGGATCTCTCGCAAGAAGGAAAGCACAGTCAATACCGTGGCCAGAGGAGAACTCGTCACGGTAGGGAGCAAGGCCCGTTAGAGCGGCCTAGCTGACCAACACAACCAACACGGCGCTTCGGCGCAGTCCCCCATTTGTTCCACCCATGGCCACTCTTTAGAGACCCGTTTCAAACTGGAAAAAATCGGCTGTAATTGCTCCGGTCCGGGTCATGGTATTTAAACAGCAGGTAGTCCGGTCGGCAACCACTCACTATCTACCAATTGATCTCTCACAAGATCGAAATACCAATTACGGAACATTTGCCTACCACACCATGCATAAGAGATCCGACAGCAGCGCTATCTGCAAACGGTGCCGTAAGATCAACTTGGGCGCCCTCACTCGCCGGAGCCACACTACAAAGATTGGAGAGGTGGTCATTGGATGGCGAGGACGGATTGACCAGGCCAAGTTTGATAATTGCCCATTATGCCAGCTCATCATGAAAGCTTTCAATATGTCCAAAGAAGAAATGACCAGCCAAAACACTCATCAGCTTCTATCATTCTCCAGCAGACGGATAGTCAGTCAAGGATGGGCAACAGTTGATACGACCCTTCTTTCACTGGATCGGCACATATACCGCAGCCGTCCACAATACATCGTTTACCAGCCCAAAGGCACAGAAATCGTTCGCCTTCTGGGACCACATGTCGATTTCGGCCTCGTCAGATCCTGGCTGCAGTACTGCGAGGCTCAACATGGAAGGACGTGTACTTCGGTTCGCGACGTGGAAGGGTTGAACTCGATCAGTTCCCTCAAGTTCATCGACTGCGAAACGAACACGATCGTTCATGCAAACGGGATGCCCTACGTTGCTCTCAGCTATCAATGGGGAAGCGAAACCAGCAACCAAGTCCCCTTTGTCACCTCGCTACCGGATGGCATGCCGAAAACCATCAAAGATGCCATATCAGCGACACGAGCTATGGGATTTAGGTATCTCTGGGTGGACCGATATTGTATCAACCAAAGCTGTGGAGAAGAGGTTGCGGAACAAGTCCAAAAGATGGATGTTATCTACAACCATGCAGAGTTAACAATCATCGCCGCTGCTGGACAGAATGCCGAGTGTGGACTCCCTGGAATATCTCCAAGATCTGTCCTCCAACCATCCGCCAGGATAGGGAGGCATCATCTAGTGTCCGCAATGGCGGACCCTCGCTCCGTCATTGAGAGCTCTGCATGGAACCAAAGAGGTTGGACTTACCAAGAAGGGCTGCTTTCGAGGAGACGACTGGTCTTTACGCCAAGCCAAGTCTACTTTGAGTGTTGCGGGATGTACTGCTGCGAAGCACTGAATTTTCCGTTGTCATCGCTACATGTGAAGGACTCAAGCCGCTTCAGGGCCTCGTTTTGTGGCACCATCAACCTGGGCATGTTCCCTCGGCAGCTTGGGCGCACAGAGTGGGAAGTTGTTGAACGAATCACCGAGTACAGTGCAAAGTCACTCAGCAACACCTCGGACATCCTTGATGGAGTGTCTGGGGTATTGCGAGTGTTGAAACAGGGTCGACACAGGGTCCGACACTGCAAGGGTGTGCCGTTCCTCCCCAGGCCACCCAAGCCGTCTGGCATAGGGCCGAAGAATGCTCAGGAGATTTACAACGCATACAAATGGTCCCCGACTGTGGGCTTTTGCGCCGGACTGTGCTGGACGACCCGCAAGTGTTTAAAGAGACGAGTAGGCTTTCCGAGTTGGTCATGGACAGGCTGGGAGGGCGCCGTGAACTGGACGTTCTATGAATGTGAGTGGAAGCAGATTCAAAGCAACTCCGACATCCAATTTAAAGTCCAACTCATCGGCGGCAAGGAGTGTGGTTTGGATGAGTACTTCAGCATGTGCAACAATGTTGATGAGCCCATCTCAAACACACTCATTGTCTCTGGTTTGGTCATCCCAGTTCAAATTGGGGTTCACTATTACCAATGGGGTAACGATTTAGTACCCGGGCTTAAGGCCACAGTCTGGTCCGAGGACGGCATACCAGTAAGCTGGAAGCTTCATTTCAATGAAAGAGGTCTAGACGTACGGACATTGGGTCCGTGTTTGGCCATCGAGCTTGCTCGACAACCGGAATCTTCCTTCCCCTGGTATCTGATGATTGTTGCTGAAACAGAAAGGGGCACCTACCAACGAGTTGGTCTGACCGATCGGAGGTGTCACTTATCAGAAGAAGTAGAAGGTTTCGCCAAGATACAGATGGACTTGCAACTTGAATAATAGAAGAGTAGTTTTGGAGTGGGACTGACTGTGATTCTTCGCGCCATAGCTCATTTAGTAATGGTTATATATGGTCGATATAAATTGAGTGTGTCACCCGGGATGTCCGTATAGAAATAGAAGTAGACATTTTCGACGAGCACAGTCTAAGCGAACCTGTTGAGAAGCAGCCTGCTAGGTTCTTCGCTAAGGCGGGCAGGTGTGGTGTCAAAGACGTCCCCAACTCTTTGAACCTATCCATCCTGGTGAATGCTAGGGATTAGAATGTTGATCAATCTAGTCAGAGTGGGTAGGTAGCAGTTCTTCAGCCGCAAAAGGTGAGTGTCACGACTTCAAGGTTCATCAAGGCAATGCTGATTGTTCGTAGTATTATTTGTTCTTGAAATTGTGTGCTGAAAACGAAAGGCTCTACCAACTAAACGAGGTAGACGGAAAACAAATTATCTGAATGCAGGGGAAACTTCCAAGGGTATCCATTTCGGCTTCAAGAATCCCGGTACTCCTGAGGCGCCTTCTTGGTACTTTACATGAGGGTCGAGGGTCAATAGATGAGCTCCTCTACTCGATCTTCTCGACTACGATGTCGTCAAAGTACCATTGCAGCGACCAACCTGTAGACTTGACTCTGATTCTCAACTTGGTATCTCCAGTAACGCCGTCATTCTGGAGCTCCTCCTCAAACCGAGCCCAGCCGTTGCCCAGATCCTTGCCGTTCGAAGGCCTAGTCTCGAACAACCTGCTACCGCTGTGCTTGAGGATGACCTCGATAGGTGACCAATCCGTGACGCCGTCCTTGTCGATCCAGCTGCACCTGGCGGTAAAGGCAACCCTGTAACCACGCGCGCTCTCTTCCAGCTTGAAGATCTCTTTGTAGTCGATAAAAGCGTAACCATCTGCGGTAGGCTCGATTATCTTGAACACGTGTGAGTCGCCGTAGGGAGTCTGCAGGTGTTCGATGTTGTAGGAGAAGGATTTGTCGGAACTGATGGTCCAGTGGTCGAGGTTGTTGTCTTCGAAGTCGATGTGGAGAGAGGTGCTGGGTTTTTTATCGTCATCGCGTTCCTCGGCTTGAAAGAAGTTAGACACATGATATTCGTCCTTTTTCGGGATGAAAGTAATACTCACGCTGAGTGATAAAGGTGACAGTGGGATCTCCAGGTGCAACTGTTGTTGCAACGGGGACACAAGAAGACACAGTCGTAGCAGTAGTAGACACGGGCTTCGCTGTCACGGCGCCAATGGCCAGCGACCCAAGCAGTAAAGAAAAGGCAGATGAAACCATCTTGAAGTCGCTGAGTCTATTCCGCTAAACACAAGGAGAGAGAGAGAAAAAAAAACAGAACAAAGATTAGACGATCTGATATGTGGGAAAAGGCGGGCATGTAAGGGAATGCATGGTGTGGGACCAAAAGTAAGCTGCTGACAGAGAACTCACTTTTTAAAGATCACTGTCAGATTCATGCCCCTCAAAACACCAAAGGTCCATAGACTAGTCAAAAGAAGGCTGGCGTACCTGAAGCTATTCCCGTTCTAAGCGACTCCCCAGCCCCCATAAGCGGAGACCCGCGCCTCACGGCTGACGCCGAGGATGACGGTTTGATCCTTCAAGCTACTTTTTAAGCATAGCCGAGGGACGAACCTGGTCTATAGCTTATGCCCTGCAAGTTGGCCATGTTTGATTCGTCCTTGGATTGCGAAGAGTAAGCACAGAGCTCAGCCACGCGACTCGGCGCTTACGCTGTGGATCCAGGTAAGACGGCAGGGTCTCAGCCGTTGGCAAACACCCTAAATAAAGATGTTTTTTTAATGAAGCAATGAAAGTCCGAGATGGATTCCAAATGGTTCAACTCAGGCTGCATATGCGCCACACTTTGGAGGGTGGATGGCTTGTCCTTGTCGCTTCAATCTGCCATTCAAAACAAGTTTGGGGCTTGATAAGTTTGAGGAATCTTGTTAAAGATGTACTGTTGGTTCCTAAGGCAGATTAGTGCTGATTGTCGGTGGAGATAAAGTCTGTCGAAAGGTCATGATCTTGCCAGCCAACCATTAGTGACATATCGATCAGAACATGAAAAGCCACCAATAAAAACCAGTCACGATTTCTGAATCTATTTTTCCAAGACTATATCGGTCTCTGGAAGAAAAAGCCATTGAGTAGATAAGCGAAGTGAGAAGGAGTTATAGGGAGATAACTGGGTAATCGACGCATGCCAAGATCCCATACATGGCCTCCTACCCTGCACTTGCCAACTCGAAACTCGATGCTGAAGGTTCCGCATATTCTTAATAAATGTATCTTTATATTGAATGATAATAGAATGTTCTATCACACATGAACAATTTGTGGATGAAGTGTAGAGTCTTTGCAAACCTGATTGGGCTCCAAGGAGTGGCCTGACATTGCGGACCACCTCCCAAGAGTCTCGTGACCACCTTAACCGAGATCTTTTCTGGGACATAAATACAACGGCATTATGCATTTCAAGCCCAGATACGTGAGTTACGCCATCAGGGTACAACTACGGAAACAAAGACCTTAAGCCGAGGCTGGCTATTTTGCCCCTTTGCATCTCGTGGTGCCAAGACCTGGATCTGCGCCTCTGATGCAACTAAAACAACTCACCCACTTGAGCCATTTTCCGCCTGCGGGGTTCGCACCAGCAAACATGGTCGTACATCACACCAACGAGCCCCATTTGTTCACCTCTTGTCCAGCTGTCTAACCGTCGAAATGGAAGCGGGGGCTTTTGCTCATGCTGCTACTATTGAACCAATCGAATCACGGGACCGGGTCGATGAGGTGGACGAGTTTCCCACGTCTGATTATGACGCCGAGTCTGTCAGCTTTCAGGCTGCGAGCTTGAATTCGAGTATATATCAGCACTTTTATGAGAATGGAAGACGGGTGAGTATTTATTGCTACGCCTGTATACCGTACCTTCTTGGCAGAATGAACTGATGCTCCGGTAGTATCACCACTACCGGCACGGGACGTGAGTTTCAGGCCGAGCTCACCTGCCATTGTGTAACCTGACATTTGCCAGGTACCCGATCCCAAATGATGATGCCGAGCAGAACCGAGATGATATGAAGCATGTAATGATGCTGGAACTTACCGAGTGAGTCCTTGCAGTGTACATAGGAGGAGCGGCTCGCTAACGCTGACTAGCGGCAAGTTATTCTTCGCCCCGGTCGGTAATAACCCACAGAAGATCCTCGACTTGGGCACTGGAACTGGCTCCTGGGCCATTGAAGGTGACTCCCAAAAGGCCCCGTAGTTTCTGGACACATCTGATGCTTGTAGTGGCCGATATGTACCCCAGCGCTTCCGTGGTTGGTGTTGACCTCAGTCCTATACAACCCCTGTGGGTGCCACCGAACCTGAAATTCGTTGTCGACGACATAGAAGATTCTTGGATGCTTGGAGATGGCTATGAATTTATGCACATGCGCTGTATCAGTCCGTGGTTAAAAGATCAACCAACAGTTCTCCAACAAGCGTATGAGTAAGTAGATGCAATACCCTTACTCCAGTTGACTAAGCTCGTTCTTGAATATTCACTGAACGCAGTCTACAGACATCTTAATCCAGGAGGGTGGATTGAAATACAAGAGCTCGATGCTCGTGCCAACTGCGATGATGGATCGCTTCCGCTCGACTCTTCCTTGAGCAAATTCTTTGACACGGCTGAAGCTGCTGTGAGAAGTTTCGGCATGAATTTCAGAGCTGGAGAGAAACTCGGCGAGCTTCTACAAAATGTTGGCTTCATCAACGTGGGATGCATAGTATTGAAGGTGCCCATCGGAGCGTGGGCAAAGGCAAGTTCCCCTTCGTCCTGCAGTTGCTCACCCTGCTAATTAAAGGCACAAATAGGATCAGAAGCTACGACTAATAGGATTGTACTGCCGGACCGCTGTGGAAGATATGTTTGGAGCCATGGCTGCAAAACCGTTCCGCCGGATTATGGAGACCAAGGACATCGAGGCATTCTTAGCGGCGGCGAGGAAGGATCTCTACGATACAGAGATTCATGCATACGAGAAGTACTATTTTTGGATGGGACAGAAACCGTTGGTTTAATCTTGGATACGATTTCTTTGTTGCTGCCGTCTCATTGCCCATATCAACTCGCGATCTATTCTTGTGTATGGCACCCCTTCACTGCTCAGCCTCTTAGCCCAACCATCACTGAATGGTGACAAGTATCGACCCCTCACTCCTTGGGCACGCGCTTTGAGTACCTGCATGCGCCAAGACTCATTACCAGCGCCTGATTCCCAGATTCAAGGCCTCCAAACGCCGCGAGATCCGTTTCTGAACGGATATTAGGAGTTGCGTGGAACAAGGTAGAGCTTGGCGACTATGATGCTACCCAGCAAAACGATCCTTTGAGGAGAATCGGTGCGCCTCTTTCATTATGTAGCTGCCTGATTGGGACGGACCCATCTCTCGTTGTTCACAGTGAGTGTCGCATGTTCCCGTTGCTGAATCGATGGCCATTATTTCTGTCATTTATACAGAGTAGGCACCCAAGCCATCGTGATTTAGAGTCTGGAAGAGGTCCAAGGCAACCCATTCTATCTCTTCTAATAATGACCAAAAGCTGCTCCCGTGTGACTCTGTGCTCTCGTGTCCACCGCCCTCCGCAACTCAACGGAGATTGCCAGGACGCGTCTCAGCCCTCACAAGTAGCGTCCAAGGCTGAAAACATCAACCAACCAGAAGCTGCAGTGCAACTCGGCATTCGAGTGAGGCGCCGCCACGATATTTAAGCATGGGCCAATGCTAACGGCGTTCTGCCTTGGATGGAGACGTGGTGGCTTCTCGTGAGGATACACTAGAAGACCCTGGAAATTTAAGCTTGATTTTTTTAGGCGGTTGAGTAAAAATAGTTGAAGCCTAGAGTTCTTGGCAAAGGACAATGAGGTGTTAAAATACTCACGAGAGACGCAGTGTTCGTTCCTCTTCCTATATTTCTTTCTCTAGCTTGTCGCCTATGAGACCTTCAACTTGACACTGTCACCCACTCTTGATCCAACTCACCATGGTCAACTCCCTCCGGCTCCTCGCCATCGCCGCGGCGGCCCTTACTGGCCTTGCCCCTACCGCTGCAAGTCCGGCCCCCGAACCAGCCGGCCCGACTCTCCTCCCCGGCTTCGAAGTCGACTGGAGCAAATGGTGGACCCGCCAGTTGTTCAGTTGCCCTGTCTGGAAAGGACCTCTTCCCCAGAGCGCACAGGATCTTGCTGGGAGTACCTGCAGCAATGCTTGGACTCGGACGATCACAGGAGGTTCCATAACTGCTCGTCTGTACCAAGTTCCTGGACAATGGCAGAAGGAGCCTCGATACAGCGAAATCGTCAACGGTGTTGCTGATGCTATCAAGAAAGGCGTCGGAATCTTTGGATCAATGGCTGGTCCTCTCAAGATTCACATCGGCTTTGTCTCGGGCGTACTCGGCGACATCGTTCAAGTCGACGACAACAACCTCGGCACCAAGGACCCTTGCTACATGATCATCGACTTTCCTCCTGGCACTAGCAAATACCCTCTTCTGGCTATTCAGAAGGATGTCATCAAGGGCATGTACCAGTGTGTCGAGCAGTTCCATCGTCCGACTGTCACTACTTGGACAAAGGGAAATGAATGGTGGCGTCAGGGCATTGCTCGCTACTTTGATGGGCTTGCCTATCCTACCACCAACGCTATCATGAACCGTGGCCTCTACCCCGAAGAGTACCAATTCGGAATCCCTCTCTACCAGAACGATGAGGCTGCTGCCCTCTTCTTCCACTTTGCCGATAGATTAGGCGGATGGTCTCCAAATGATGTCAACAACTGGATGAAGGGGCATCCTAACAAGGCAACCTACGAACTCGAGCGGAAGTCGCTGTCGATAGACACAAAGATTACGTCTGCTCTGTGGCATCGGTTTGTCCTTGCATGCAGGGACCAGACCATCAAGTACCCCAACGGCCAGAAGATTCCTCTCAAACTAGGGGGGCCACCCACAACCACTCACCCTCTGGTCAACGTCGCCAAAGTAGGCGGTACCTATTCCAAGTCAGTCACAGGCAAAGCCTGGAAGGGCGCTATCAACATCTTCTCCATCAAGGCCGGCCAAAAGATGCGTGTCACGTTTGAAGCCGACCCAGGCATCGAATGGAGCATCCGCAAGGTTGGAACGACTGCATGGAACACTGGTATCAGGACTAGAACTGTCAATATTGCGGCTGCTGCTGGTGCCACTACCAAGTTTGAGCTTGCTGTTAGCTCGACGAGGGATGATGGTGGGTCTGGGTTGAGCAAGGTCAAGATGACTCGGACTGCTTAAGATTTATGTGCAAGACTTTTGTTTGTGTGAAGAGTACTGCGACTGGAAATTGGCGACGACTTTGGGACACTTTAGTTATAGTTTTCTTCGTTTGTGACGATGGTAGTGTTGATGAAATGCAATAGTTCTTTGATTCATAATCGGCCACTCCTCGGCATACGTGCCTCTGCTTGCGCAGCAGCTTCCATGTTTGACTAGTAATCGAGTATTGAGCCCAGATTTTGCGATGCTTGGTATTGGTAGAAAAGAGGCCGCACACGGACTTGGCCGATCGTGCATGCATTCGCAGGTCGGCGACCTTTCAACCCCTGCAAGTAAGCGGATTCAGGCCCTCGGCCTTTGTCGTGTGGCTGGGCTCAACACTGTCACACAATCTCGTTACTGGCTGATTGCGGGCCAGATGAAGCATTAATGTGGCTTGCTCAATCTCAGCTAGTAGTCCGCTTACTCGGAGCCCGATGGGCTGTGAGGCGCAGTTGTACACTTGATGGCCGTACTTGCATTTTAACAACAGGCGGATGGGAGAGCTTGAAGTTGTATATAAATGCTATAGACTCGACTTTTACAGTGCAGTATCATTCAGCAACCAACATTCATCTCCATTACCTCTACACGGACAAACTTAGTCATGCGATCATCTCAATACCTAACAGCCCTCGCTGGCCTCCTCTTTGGAGCTAGCGCAGCCGTCCTCCCTCGAGACTCTGAGCCCTACTGCTCCATCCTTAACGCCCGCCCAAGCAAGTTGGCTTGTTCAAAGCAAGGCTACATTGACAACGTCTCTGGCAAGATTGGTGATCCTCAAAACATCCCCCGAGTATCCCAATGCGCCGATCTTTGTGCCAAGACTCCTTCATGCACCTTTTTCAACTTTCGACCCGAATCCGGCTTTTGCCAACTCTTTTCCGGAGACTTTTCTTCTGTCGGACACCGGGATGAGGCCAGCGGTAGCTACTTTTCTCAACTCGAGTGTTATCAATGTACAAACGGTGAGTGCATGCTCCTCACACTATTAAACCAGATGCTAATAATTACACCAGCCGATACCCTCTTCAACTTGGACTTTGAGGACCGAGATGTCGAGAAGTGGGGTCTATATATGGAAAAGGAGGGCGACTTCTACTTCGACATCCAACAGCCAGACTCTTGGGCCCTTCGCGTCCTAGAAGTCGCCAATCAAGGCGTCGTCAAAGTCAAATACTTGCCCACTTTCCACCTCGAGCCTGGCTCCTCCTACCGAATCACATTCCTCGCCAAGTCCAACAAGAAGGACATTGAGCCCTTCGACTTGATCCGCACTGTCATCTACCGCGGCGATCAGACCATCCATGAGGCTTTCCCCGAGTATCCGGCCGAGTACATCTGGGGGTGGCATCAGTTCTACACTAGGTTCACTGTGCCTGAGGGCCAGGGTGGTGAGGCTTCATTCATGTTCAAAATTTCCTCGAGCGGTTCTGAGCTTGATTGGTACTTTGATGGTCTTGCCTTGCAGAAGGTCTAAGCTGTTGGTGGCGTCTTGGAGATTACTTAAGCTAGCTTTCTCATCGGCGATTTTGTAGAGGGATCGGATGCATCAAATAGACAAGTATTTATTTTTCTCAATATGACCTCATTGGGACTTCTTTACGTTTTCTCTCCAGTTGTGATATCCCGCCCCCTAGCCCTCGATGGACCACCCTTGCCCATTTCTGGTTCTCGGCTTTTCTCTTTAGTGATCATTGGAACCTCTTAAAGCTCCGAAAGTACCTCAAAGTCAATCATAGGTAGATTTATGCTGTACAGTCGGAGATCAGCGCATTTGGCGGTGCCGAGGTTATCGCCATTCCAGTCCCACCACCAAGATTACATAACCGCCCAACCTTATCAACGACCTTTATCTTTGACTTCAATGCAACACGGTGAACCCCTCACCCTCAACAATCATCCACAAACACCGCAACTATGCCTGTTCGTCTGACTATTGACCCTCCGTTATTAAACTCGGCGACGCCATGGGCTACAGACCTTAATGATCTCATGGCTCTGGCCGCTTGCCCATCCACAGGTGCTGTCACGACAAGGACGTCTCTTATCAAGGGCTTCGACCACCAGGATGCCAACCATCGATATCTTTTCTTTGACCCTGCTACGGCGAAGCCAGACGAGGGAACTTCCTCGAACCAAGTTCCTCCTGCCGGCCACACAGAGAATGCAACAGCCAGTCTGAACAATCTCGGTTACAGTCCAATCCCTTTGGAAGGATACATCAAGTTCCTCAAGGAAGTTGGCGACCGGCTTCCAACGCTGAAGAAGACCTTCATTGTAAGCGTCACAGGCTCACCTGAAGATATTCTAGCTTCCTATGAGCTGCTCGAGTCCACTTCGAAAGTCCTGCCTTTCCCTCTGGCGATGGAAGTCAACCTGAGCTGCCCAAACATACCTGGAGCCCCGCCACCTGCGTATCACGGCGCAGCTCTTGAGAAATATCTTTCCATACTGCCCAAGAACCCTGCAATTCCAATTGGGATCAAAACACCACCTTACACGTACGAGGGCCAGTTCGCCTCCTTGATTGACACGCTCGTACCGGCAGCGTCTTCCATCAGCTTCATCACTGCCACAAACACCCTCGGATCTTGCCTCATCCTCGAACAAGATGGTGGAAACAACCTGACGCCCCAGCTGCCAAACCTGGGTGTCGGTGGCATGGCTGGTCCGCCGCTGCACGCTCTCGCTCTCGGAAACGTGTCAACTTTGCGGAGGTTTCTTACTCAAACCGAAGAATTGAAACATATTGCTATCATTGGAGTTGGTGGGGTTCGTGATGGTGATGGCTTTCGGAGGATGAGAGCGGTCGGTGCAAAAGCGGTAGCCGTAGGCACTGCCTTGGGGAAGCAGGGTGTCAACGTTTTTCAGAGGATCGAGAGAGATGTTGACCGGGATTGGAAGCTTTGATCAGTTATACATCACTTTTGTAGAGACGAAGAAGTCCAGCCGTGCTAATAGTCCCCTGTCGAAAAGTTATCTTGTTTCCTAACGCCATTACGCCAAAGATTGTGTATATCTAGATATCTCTCCAACATGTTTTGGTCCTCCATCACAGCAAACATCTCGAATTGCGATTTACCGCAGCGTCAAGGGCTTCAAAGTTATCCATGTCCCGGAAATGGCAAACGCACCCTGCATGTCTTCCTCGACCACCGACCAAGCAACCCCAAGTACCACGGCTAAAGCAGCTACTAGGGTAACCATAATGAGGTAGATGGTCATCTAGTGCCACGGCTCCTCGAGCAACAGCAGGGATGCGGATGGCCTCTCACAAAGTGGTTGGCATTTGCTTTGAACTGTGGGGATGTCAGTAAATTGTGAACACTTCCTATGTTTGTGGAACAAACTCTTAGGGGGGCAAGGGATATTCATCTGCGTTATTATTCTCCGTTACAGCTGCAACGGCAATTCTGGTAGGTTTTGATGAGGGAGTCACCTTTATTAATACAGAGGAGAAGGTTTAATATATAATTGAGCCGTCATTGTCTCTGAGATCGCCTGCATTCGCTGCGCGACTCATTCTATCTGCCGTGGAGTGGAGAAGAAGTCTTCCACCGGAAAGTCAAATTGAGAAGCGAGAGTAATATCCCATGTCATGTAATCACTGATCTCCTCTGCCATGCGGAAATACTGTTCCTGGTCCAAAAGTAGACCCTGCGTTGTATCCGCGGATGATACCGCCCCAGGCATTATGATAGGAGTAAGCTGGCTTGCCACAGCCTCGCTCTGAGACTGACCTGCCAGTGCGAGCATATGAAGACCTGACTCATCAAACGGTTGCGAGGGAGACCCCAGGGTTTGCCCAAGCCTAGACTGTTCGGGTCGAGGACTGGGCGGAGCTGACGAGAAACTCCAGGGTGTGCATGTGCCTGTTCTCCGTTCGTCTTCTGTGATCTCTCGACGCGCGAGACGAAACGTTGCGATCTGGTTAAGAAACGCCGTCTCCACAGGGCCAACTACTTCGGAGTTGTCGTCTGTTGATTGCGACGGGGCGAGCAAGACCGTGTTCTGGAACTGCTGCCAGTAGGTCGCGATATCTGAGAAGCCAAACCGATGCAAAAACGGAATTATTGCGGATAGCTGGAAGAATTAGTCACCTATCAACTTACGCGGCATAGGTAACTGACATATACATTGGGCATGTCTGGATATGGATGGGTCTCGGTGAGGACTCTGAGGTTGGTGTTGATGTTGGCCATACCTTCGCTGTAGAGCCTTGGGGACCCACTTGCCATAGTGGTAAGATAAATTACTTGAATCTTGGTAGACTCAAAAGCGGCCGTTGACGTAAAATGATCATCCAGGGTCCCAGTACCGCACTCCAGCCCAGTTTCCAGCAGCTCTGAGACGCAGCAAGCATGGTACCAAGCCTCGTGACGATACTTGAGAGTGAAATCCTGGGGAACTTGGAAGAACGCAGAAGATAGGGGGAAGCTATAGCCGGGGAGCGTAACTCTTGTGAGATCAAACACGCATGCATGATAGGCAAGGTGAAGGAAGAAGTATGGTCCAAGGGTGTATTGCTCCTTGTGAATGTAAATGTTTAGGTCGTTGAAGGCGAGAAAGTCAGGTAGCTTCTCATACCAAGCTGCAAGCAGACTCAAGAGCTGCAGAAAAGTCGAGCTTTTGTCGCATGGGGTTATCTGTGAGGTATCTTGTATGTCGTAATTACGTATGTGACTAAATCCCTTCATGTTAGCACACTTTGCCGCAAGCAGTGGGTCTTCTAGTGGTCTTGCCGGAGAACCTGGGTCCTAAAGTAGATAACTCTACAGATATTGCCTCCCAAACTAGTGGGACTGAGAAGATGTACCCATTTTTCGACCTCAGCATATACTGGAATTGACTTTTCTTGATAGATAAAGTCCTTCTCTGAGCAGGCGAGGGGCAGAGCTGGCACATTTGCGGCCCAGCTTAGGTTTCCGTCGACGCCTGCGCCCACAAACGAGTCTAGGACATAGCAAGACCACATGAGTCTTCTTATTGACTCTCTTTTTGTCAACTGTTGCGGTGAGAGGGGATTTCAATCTTCTTGGGGATCTTCAGTGTCGAGTCGTAGTAGACGGCTCATGCGAGTGCAGCTTCCAACAAGCATGTACACAAACGCATTATCACCGACGCGAAGCCCGTATTCAGCGTATAGCACCATAGCCTAGCTCATAGTTAGTCTTGAACCACCTGATGTTGAAAGGCATTCAGGCACACCATCAAGTTCTTTGTCGAAGGGCTACAGGTGAGGCATCGCACGAGTTGTCTAGCTCGACGCCCCCATTGAATGCCTGGAACATCCGACATGGAGAGGTTTCCGTGAGCCTTTGGCGCCGGCCTAATAAACCATGTTAGCCTGCATAAGTGACTGCGTCCAAGAAACTTGCATGTATCGTGCTCCAAGCGCACAGACAAGGTACACCACGGCCTCGCCATACTCGGCTACCGTCGTGCCCTGATCGATCGCCTTCATGAAAGAGGGTTTGTGGATGAACCCAAGATTTCGGAGAGGATGTACGTGGTTGAAGTAGGATCCCGCTAGGGTCTTGAGCTGACACTTTTCAGGAAGAGTCAACTGATGCAGCCTGTAACTGATTAGCTGAGTTCCCAGAGGGTCGTTGTGCCTACCAGGTATTATCTCTTGATGCCACCCCGGATGGTGGACCTTCTGGTGATACTGTTGCATCCGCAGCTCCTTGTTCTGATCCCGACTTGGAACCCGAATAGGTGCAAGTTAACGCCCTCATCCGACATCTTCGGCAATCAGGTTTGGTCTGTGAACATTTTGCTTTGGCAGTGCGACACTCATCGCAGGAGCCAGCTTTTCTCCGCTCCAAGCCAGCACGTTTGTAAATTTTGTCAATTTCTTCTGAGGCCTTTTCCGCCCCTTGTGACTCGTAGCCCGGACACTGAACGCCTACTCGGCGACATCTTGCACATCCCGAAGGAGCTTTGTCACATTTGACATAGTGTCTAGTCAACAAATGATTGAGAGACTGTATTTCAGATCATACCTTTCGAGAGCGGCATATCATGCAAGCTGCCAGTGTTAACCGCCACAGTCTTGCTGTTGGAGCTTAGATTGAGCTCACCCAATTGCGGACGCGGAGACTTAAAGAGTTCCATCTCATCAAAGACTGCCAAACTCGGTTTCTTCGTTCCTTGTACTTAAATTTCATGGAAAGCTAGACGTGAGAGAACATCAAGTTCCTGACCGAATTGAAGAATGTCAAGTCGACCGATAGCCAAGGGAGACCACAAGATCCCCCGCCCAGGGACCGACGCGATGCCACGTGACCGCTCGATGGAATGGACTGGACAGATGATCCTGGTCAAGAGGAATTGCTCGGTTCGGGTGTTTGGTCACCTATAACCGGCATACGAGATGGTCCAGGCCTTGAGTTATTCGCGAGCTTTACATGGATGTCGCTGATCAGTGAGTCTACCCTTATTTGAATCTCTTTTTACACTGGCACGACATGTTTCAGATGCGCAGGTACCCTATCTGGCTTTCCCATAAACTTGATCCATCCATACGGATCGTCAAACTCATCCTTAATAGGAACCGTTCTACCGAGGATAGCCTCGGGGTATTCTCCCGCCACACCAATAACACCCACATCCTTCTTGTACTCCTCCCAGAGCTTCATCATCTCATCGAACCGCTCTGGTTCCGCTTCCCTCAAGTCCTTTGTCTCACCTGGGTCCTCCTTGACGTTGAAGAGCTCCCACTTTTGGGGTCCGCGTGGAGCTGGTACAAAGACTAGTTTGTAGTGGCCCTTTCGAAGGGCTCCTGATCCACTGATCTCAAATCCTGTTACATATTCTTCCCCGTGAATCATAAAGTCCTCGTCAGTAGAGCTCGGGGCTTTCGACTCAAGGGCTGAGATGAAATGCTGCCAGCTCTTGCCTCGAAGGGGCGCAATCTCCCTCCCCTTATAACTCATGCCCGGATGGTTCAGGCCAGCGAGCTCGAGGAATGTGGGAACGATGTCCATGACTGTGCAGTAGGCGTTGGTGACGGCTGAAGCTGTGTCTGATCGCTTAGGTGGGGGCCGGATCACCAGCGGCACTCGGCAGCCTCCCTCAGTAGAGTACTGCTTAAATAGCCGAGATGGAGCGGTGGCAGCCTGTGCCCACTGAGATCCGTACCACACAAAGGAATCACCCCGGCCGATGTTGCCCAATTCATTGTTGTAGTACTTGGCGATATGAGCAACAACCTCATCGCCGAGGATTGGTAGAGCCTCATACGAGGCACCCTCAGCTCCATTGTCGGACATGAAGAGAATGAAGGTGTTGTCATACTCTCCAGTAGATCTCAGATATTCAAGGACCTTACCGATGTTCCAGTCCATTCGATCAACCATCCCGGCGTAGACTTCCATTGCACGGGCTGATTTCTCCTGCACGTCCTGGGGCATGTCTTCCCACTGACCGGGTTCGCCTGGGCATTGAACCACAGGATGAGGTTGGACGTCTTGGTCTACGAGACCCATGTCCTTTAATCGTTGGAGGCGTTTGAGTCTCAAATCCTGCGGTCCATCCGAATACTGGCCTACTCATGGTTAGCTACTATGTCTCCTTGGGTTTTGTCAGGTCCCTGACCCTTGTACTTGTCGACTACCTCCTTTGGAGCCTGAAGAGGCCAATGAGGCGCAGAAAATGGCAGGTATGCAAAGAATGGCTCTTGCTTCTCTTCTTTGGTCCGCGATGAGAGGTATTCAATTATCTTGTTGCCATAGGCATCGGATGAGTAAAATCCGTCTGGCAACTTCTCAACGAATTTATCGTCCTCGACATGCAGCGCTCGGGTGGCCGTCTCGAAGAACTTGTGCGGCTCGTTGTCAGGGTCGTCGTACTGGGGCTCGTAACCTTGGATCGCGAGGTTAGTCGCTATAGATGGTCCAATGATGCGATAGTGGCATACCGTAGTGATTCGCACAGCCTGGGAGCAGGGCAAAGGAGCGAACGAACCCGCGAGCAATTGGATGATGCTCTGGTTTCAACCCGAGATGCCACTTTCCAGCCATGATTGTGTGATAGCCGCCATCCTTGAGGAGCTCAGGAAGAGCAACCACACGCTCATTCAAGTATCCCTCATGTCCCGGCTGTCCAACAGAGCTCCGCGTAAACTCTGCAAGCTCTCCCAATCCCGCAATATGATGATCCGTGCCGGTCATCAGCATTGAACGCGTGGGAGAGCAAGCAGCCGCTACATAATAGTTTGTGAGGCGGATACCGTTGGCTTCTGCTGCCAGTGCGTCGATGTTGGGAGTCTGGATCTCGGATCCAAAGCAACCGCAGTCACTAAAGCCGAGGTCGTCGGCGACAATGACGAGAAAGTTGGGACGTGTGTTCGCCATTTTGGATCGGAATGGTGTCATGCTAGGCAGGAGACCATGGGGACGAGATGGCCCCCATGGCTCCTTTGTATTCAGCCAGAACCGAGGGTCCAACAAAGACCATGGTCCAATTGGAGGCACGAGACAGAGCTATGAGACAAAGGATGATGGTGTCTGTGGAGTAGCGAAACTCGGTCTTCGGAAGGGCGGGAAGAATAGCGGCAAAGCGAACTCTCTCGGCGGAGGAGCGCACATTAGCGTCGGGAGAGGGCATCCTAGCTCCGGAAACGTGCACCCAAGCGTCAACTCATGATCCTAAGGAGACCATGTAGACGTGCATAGCCCGCAGCTCACAGGCTGCGACCTCTCCATTCCTCCTTTACTCACGCGGTGGGTAACTGAGGTGCAGGCAGTCGCCTTCCCCTTACCCCAGATGGCTCAGCTCGTCTCCAGACCCCGGATTTTACGCTTGCGGAGAATGGCCATTTGACAATGAATACTTAAACAAGGTCAGAACTCAAAGATTTTCGCATGACAGTTCAACTTCATATCCTGTCGCTATCAAGAGTGTCCCAAATCGACTCTTCTACAAACGATCCAACAACATGGCTCCCGGCGCTGTAACGGAAGGGCCAAGTCTCTCCATGAGAGAGCAGTTCCTCTTCTTTACACCGATGATCGCATTCATCACCATGTCAGTATTGATCAACTTCTCTGGCACAGCCCTATTAACAGTCTCCTAGTTACATGGCTTTGTGTGCCTTCAACTTTGGCTTTGATGTCGGCAACTTTGCAGGCGTCCAGGCCATGCAGCGTGAGCCACCTCCCTATAATCCCGGCGCTTCAACTGACAACCAGGGCCAGCCTTCGCCAAGCGATTCGGAAGATACAATGACGACAAAGACCTTTACGCGTTGCCTAGCTACCTTTCATCCATCATGACTTCGACTCCCTTTTTTGGCAAGCTCGTTGGTGCCATCACCTGCGGTTCTGTCTCTGAGCGCTGGGGACGAAAGATGGCCATCTTGATACTTGCCTGCATCTCACTTGTAGGAGTTACTCTACAAACGGCAGCCTTTTCAGCTGCTCAGTTCACGGTTGGCAGAGTCGTCAACTTTGCCATGACGGGCTTTTGCATCGTCGTCGTGCCCATCTACCAGGCAGAGTGCTCGCCCAAGGAGCTTCGCGGGTTGATGAACTCGACTATCCAGATGGTCATCATTTTTGGCCAAACGGTTGCTTCGCTTGTTAACTTAGGAACCAAGGGCATTCGAGTCCCTACAACGTCTACGAGGCAAATTGACAGAAAACGACATCAGAGTTGAGATGGCCGAGATCCAGGCCGACCACGCTAACGCTAGTAAGGGTGATTGGAGCGAAGTGTTTGACAGCCGTAACAGACTCCGAACCATCACTGCCATTATCGCCATGTTTGAACAGCAGATTACTGGCCAGGCATTCGCCAATCAGTACTCTGCCATTTTCTACCAGCAAAATGGATTTGTTAAACAGGCCTTTCTGTTTACCGTCTTGGCTAATGTGGCCGGCGTTATTGGCACTGCCGGCACCTGGTTTGTTGTTGACAGTTTTGGACGACGGTGAGTCGATGTATCTTGATGAAATTCTACAGCGTGCTCACTAAATATTGTAGGCCTATTCTGCTGACGGGAGGTTTCTTGATGGGCGCATTCCTCTATATCGTCGCCATTGTGTCTAAGGTTCCAGATCCCACGTATGCCGCCAGACAGATGATGGTGGCGTCTATGTGTCTGTTCAGTGCCATGTACTGCGTTTCATGGGGACCTCTGTAGGTTGAACCCTCTTTTATCTTGAGCAGGCTAACTTCTCAGATCCTACGTTGTCTTGGGCGAAGTCACCTCAGCCCGTGTCAAGGAAAAGACGAGCTTGATCGCTTGCAGTATCTCCATCCTCACAACCTTTGTCACATCCTTCACTTTACCCTACCTGCTTAATAGCGACTATGCAGGTCTGGGCGGCAAGGTTGGATTTATTTACGGCTCAATATGCTTTGTTATGACGGTTGTTGCTTTCTTGTTTGTCCCTGAGATGAAGGATCGCACGCTGGAGGAGGTGGACAAGCTCTTTGAGATGAAGGTGCCACTTCGGAAGTTTAAACAGACTCGGATTGAGGTGCTGGACCCGGATGTCAAAGAGGCAGTGCTGCATGGAGGGGATGCTAAGGGTGCTAGTGTACATCACAGCGAAGCCTAAGACTCACTGAAAAGCACGCAATAAGGCGTCAAGTTAATGCAGCCCTGAAAAGCACGTCTCAGATGACGATCAGAGCCAAAATTATTAATGTAGTTCTCTATGAACCAGTCATCCCTGCCTCAGCATCTCATTTGGCGGCCAATATGATACATAGGCCTGCCCTTATCGTCATGCCTCAGGCCAATATTTATCCCTCACCAGAGCCAAGTTCTCGTCCGAGAACTCTGTTATGCCTCTATCCTTACACCTTGTCCTCGTCCGAACTACCTCGACTGTTTCACCGGTTTTCTGATCTACCGCTGCCATCCTGACCAGAGTCCTCTTGACCATGGATCCCTCTAGAGCCCAATTTGGTACGGATTGTTCATACGGGAATCCCTTCTTCTTGACCATCTCGAGCATGTCTTCTTTGTTCTTCCCGTGTAGCTCCTCTGTTGTGAAAAGACTCCTTGCGAAGCCTGATACGCTGTTCCGGATGGCGTCGCCGCGGCATCGCCATATGACATTGCTTAGGCACTCTTCAACGCTTGGGACATTGAATAGGCGACCATCGAAGTGAGGAAGTCTCTGTTGATCAAAATGAGGGAATGGAACTGAAGAAAAGCCACGGACGGGTGGCTCGGGTGTCTCGAGCACTGCAGCCACGAGGTGTGAGTAGAAATGAACAGAGCACCGTCCCGCAGCTAGCGAGGCAATCTTTGCAACACGGCCATTGAACTGGCTACCGACGCCATCTGGGAACACAAGAGTGATCTCATCTGACTGCGTGTACGCCAGACTGGCGGATGAATAGGCGCCAAGTAGGTCAGCACACGTCTTGACCATGGCGGTGTGCAACCGCTCATCAAATGGTTTCGCAAATGACGCTGTGAATTTGGAAAAAGAGTGGCCGTCGAGTCGGAGGATGGCAGGCTTGGATGGATCGAGGTGAATCTCGGTTATGGCTTCGTACTCCTTCATGCGTGAAGCCAGTGATTTGGATGGGGGTTGGCTCTCCATTTTGTCGAGTGCTCTTTTTTTGACAAACAAAAGAAGAAGTAGGCTCCTAAATCTCAGCTATATACATGACTCTATTATATTGGTGGTTTTCTGACTCACCCCGAGCTCAGCCCAATGTTAGTCACCGCCAAGTGGAGGCTGTTCACATGTCTCAGCCCACCTTGGTCCAGACCCCATCCCGCAACTTGCCCAGAGGCGCCAAGATATGGCTCCAGATGCGAATGGTCTTATTGGTATGTGTCGTTAAGCTTAATCTCCTAGCCGATTGGTATGTCAGGGGAACGTTGTCTTGGGGAAAGGCATCCAGGGAAGTTCCCAGGAGCTCACGAAGCTAAGACGTGACTGATCAAAAGCAAACATCAAAAGAGTTGTCATCATTCATGAATGCTACCGTGTATCATCTATAGTCTCTATCAAAGATCCGACTATGCAATTTTCCCAAACCCCAAATGCAAGATGCCACCCAAAAAAAAAAGAAAATATTTGCACGCTTCACAATGTCCGCCCAAAGAGATATGCCGCTTCAAAGATTCCGCCCAGAAATGCACAGGTTATAGAGCCCTCATTCGAAAGTCAGGCTCCCATTCTAACTCTTCAATACTATGAGATCGGCCCACGTGGTTGATCAATGCATCAGCACTCGCACAGAGAACGTCTCCGTCGCGAAATTTGGTGCAGAGAACGCAGGCAAAGTCCCCATCTGGGGTATGGCACTTGATCACGAATCGTTGGTTGACGATGAATTCGAGATCTTCATCGACCTCTCGCTCGTATCCATCGATCGTGATCCACTTTGTAGTGGGCTTCCGGATGGCCCAGATATCGTCGGCTTCAACACCGAGTTTGATCCCACAAGCTGGACATTGACAGATACCTCCAGGGGCAAAAGTCGAGGCCATGCGCATATTCTTATCGCACTGTAGATCAATGCTATATATGCAGTATAGAGGATCGGGTTCGGATCGGACGGGTTCGGATCGGGGGTGTTCAGATCGGGAGCATTCGGACCGGATGATGCTCGATGCGCGGCTGCGAGCAGGAGCAGGGAGTGCCTTTTGCGGAGGCAGCGACTTTGGCGGCGGAGCTAGTGCTGGCCTTGGCTTCTCGGTGGCCATCAATAGACGCTGTCGCTGCTCTCGAAGAGCTCCGAGGGATCTGTCTCGTGCGGCGTTGGAGGCAGCGATAAGGTGTTGCATGTCGACGCGGTCAAGCCGCCGACCATGGTATACGGCATCTTGCAACACGTTGATGACGGTTTGCTGAAGAGCAATAACCTGTGCCTGCAGCTTATTCTCGGTAACCACGTCTCCGATAGCGAATTTCCGGCCGAGTCGTTCGTATCCGTCTTCGAATTCCCTGCTGATGAGGGCACTCGACTTCTTGAGCGAAGCGCTAACCTCGTCCGTTTCCTTCTCCTTCTCTAGCGCCTGGTCCTTTTCCTTGGCCTTTTTCTCCGACTTTTCGACCTGTTCCTTGAGCTTCTTGATCTCTTCGTCTTGGGTCGTGTCGCGGTGGTTTTGTTTACGGCGCTCCTTGACGCGGTCCCAGAGGCCGATGGACGAGGTAAAGGTGCCGACGAGGGTGGAACATAGCACGGCTATGATGTAGGTTTTCTGGTGCAAACCTTAGCAGGAGGTCAAAGGTAGATGCGAGCATGCAGAGATACCTTGAGGTGTTTGTCCTCGATCATGTTGGCGTGGTTCATGGCGGCAGTGTGTCTGCTATCGTCTTGTCGTCTGTAGGGGGAGTCGGATGTCTGGCGACACGATCGACACCAACTCCCGGGAGAGCAGCGGCATCGGGTATATAGAAGTCATGATGGGTACGGTATCGTATACAATGGTTGCACACCGCAAGTCGCTCGATCAGCGTCGTTGGTCGGCAACGCGAACTTTAGTGCATGGACTTGCACCACCACCATGACGTCACGTCAAACTTTCCCAGTTTTGAGACAGTGATCGATCTACAAGATTGCGATGACGTGTCAGAACCTGGTCCCTCCTGATTGGTCGGGTATAAGTTGATCGTGTTTCCGGGGTGCCTCGGGATTCCACCGAGCTAGCGGCAAAGGCGTCAAGACGAAAAAAACGAAAGATTTGGGTTCAATACGGCCAATTAAAGGGGGAGGATTGTTTCATGACGACTGGGTTGATGCTGTCATGTATTCTCCGGCGACGAGGGGGGCTATATGATCGTAGTTAATCACTCTATCCATGTTGTAATTACGTAGTTGTAGTGTGGGTTAGGCTTGAAGATTGGACCCTGATCTGCATGTCAAGTCACAGAGAATGTTCATTCACACTCATAGTGGACGGCCTGAGCGTAGGATTTTGAGAGATTAAACTGCAGATTTGACAGAAACTGCTCCGAATACTCATAGAGCAATTTCATTCTTCTATATCAAGTTGGGATCGTTATTTGCGACAATATGGAGGAGCCAACTGCTTCACTCAACTCCCACCCTAGACTTATATCGCGCACGGAATATCCCAAACCGCCAAGTCTTAATGGCGATGGCTTGCCAAGCCTGCAAGGAACCTTCTAATCCAAATGCTTATTGATTGGCTGGTCTTTACTGTCGAGTCTTGGACAAAGACAGATCACAAGTGACAAAGGGACATTGCCAGGGGGCCACGTGACTTGGGTATCGATTCAATGAACCAAGCAGATGGTGGGGATCGGCGAGATGTCTCAAATGCTTTGCTGAGTAATCTTGGGCATTTGCATCCTTGATGTTGGGCAGCACTCATCTGTCGATATTGCACTCGGATGACTGACGAGAAGGGAAGAGGAGCTTGGAGCAGTTCAAGGAACCAACTTTTGATGACGATGGCAACATCCCAAAATCGATTAACTAGAAGATTCTGCAATAACTCAGAGGCCAAAAAGAAATACAGGGCTGATCCAAGACAAGATGTTGCAAATGTAAGCAGCTTCATGCAAACCAACGGGTGGTCACGTGACCACCTGCAACATGACATCGTGTCTCACGATGGTGGCAATGAACCAAGAGTTGTATCATTTCTTCATGCATGGCAAGCAATTTATCTAGGCAGCAGAAGGATGCATGGCTGCTGGCCGGGTCTTTTCTTGCATCCGGTAACGGCCAATCCTTTTTTTCGGCCGAAATGTCGGCGTTAAGCCACACATGCTGCCGAAACGAAGTCAAATATGAAGCTTATTCAGGCTGAAAGCTGATAGTAGTTGATGGAAGGGAACACTAATATCCCATAGGATAGATTTATTTGGTTTCCAAGTACATCTGCAAGCAATGAGCTATTTAGGTATCGAAGATGAGATAATCTTTGGAGTGCTCTAACTCGGCAAGCACATCCACGGTATCTATCCAGAGAAAGGAATATTTAAATGCTTATGGAAAGTTAAAGCGGTACTTAGCATTTCCATCCCAGCAGCTATCCTACCTTTAAAAGCGACATGTAGCCCAAATGCATCCCTTTTCACTCCAGTTATTCCTTCTTTTGACGACTTGTAAACACCACACAACCGCTTCTCTTCTACCTATCAAAGAGCTACAAGGCCAAGACCTTCATGGTTAATGGAGAAGTCTATTGTGCACTATGCGGCACCCTCACTTATTTCAACCCAGCCTCGGGTCGGCCGGGCGTGGCCTACGGCAATCATAATGCCTCCTATAGACTCCTTGCCTCCCCAGCAAGAACCCTCTGGTGGCTCAGAGAGACAAGTATCCTCACTGAAAACCTTGGTGGCGTAGGGTTTGTCTCCTATTCTAACACTAGCAAGACCTTGACTGATGTATTATAGAATCGCCCTGATGGAACAGGCTCGCTATCTCGGCAATGGCCTCTACGCTTATGATGTACGACATATGGGAACAATAAAGCAACACGCGTCAGTACAGCACCGACTTGTGGGGTAATTGGCTGACCTTTCACACTGTTTAGGTATAACAATCAGACAGACTTTCCCGTCGCATTCCCCGTCCATGATGTTTGCATGAGCCTATTTCAAAAGATGCTTGAACCAGAGGAATTCGACCTTGAGTGTGTTTACAAGACCTTTAAGAAGTTTGCTGGCTCAGCTCCCTCAAGATGCCTGAACTTGGACTATGGCGGCGCTGAGAGATTCATGGGAGAATACTGGAGAGTCGTTGAAGGCGAAGAGCATTATCTGGTCTCGCCCTCCTCGGACCGGGCCCTCAGACGTTGGTACGCTATACTGCAGAATGAACCCCCAGAAATGAATGGGGAAAATCAGGTTGTTAAGCGCCTACCAAGTTTAAGGGATGACCCATTCGTCAAGTTGCCTCCCGAGCTCGTCTTGCTCACCGCCGAGCATATGACCATGGCCGATTTCTGTCAATGGAGAGCAGCATCAAGGAGGACTAATCTTCTACCCTTGGAGAACAAGAATTGGAGGACCAGGCTCATTCGAGACATGCCTTGGATGTTTGACGTGTCCTATCCCGAGATTTCTGACTCGCCCGTGGACTGGGAAGATGTCTACAAGACACTCCACTTGGCTTCGTTCAGTCGTGGCGACCACAGGAGCCCAGCCCTTATCAACAGGAAGCGGATATGGCAAATCTGCTTGCCACTCGTCAAGGCTTTCCACGAGGAAAAGGCCATACAGAATAAGGAAGAAGAGGCAATACCCGAAACCATGATCGACGCGGTAGTCGACACGGAGCCCAAGCCAAACTACAAGACTTGCCGAGAGCTTCTTTTCCTGCGCAGGTTCAGCGACTTGGACTCTGTACACCCCAAGATTGTCGTTGAATGGACTAGGAACTTGGAGTTCAAGGCCATCAAAGCTGGAAACTGTGGTTTTGTGTACAAGAAAAGCATGGGTCTCGACCTCGAAGACCAAGTGTTTTTCCCCGAAGACGGCTGGCTCGCGGGAATCTCGGTACGAATTTATCACGATCAGCCGGATGACGATGAAGAAGATGACATAATTCCGTCTCAAACAGTAATTACCGGGATATCCTTTTCCTTCAGCCAAACTCCGGTTGGTGGTCACGGCGACTTTGGAGATCCGGTATTCCACGCCACGCATCTTCTCGCACCCCGAGCGGGGCATTTTATTGTTGGCCTCAAGGTGTACGATGATGGGCAGGACAAAGTCAAGGGGATTGAGCTCATCCAGCAACCATTGACAAAGTTAAGACGGCCGACCCGGAGGGCCATGGTTGATATGGTTTCTGCAGAGGTATGGAACGCTGAAGATACAAAGGAGAAGTTTTGGATTGGTATTGGCGAAGAATTTCTGGATTGGTATTAATGAATGCTGGTGTTGATTTGTTTTGTATGAAGGATATGTTGAGGTAGGGATGGACTGATTGTGTGATGGAATTGGGAGTTTGGGGTCTGTGAGTTAGGTAGATGGGTAGGTTAGGTACGACATTTTTGCACCCGTGGCTTGCGTCAACAATATCAGTATTTCTCAAGAGAGTAAAGTGTGTCTTGTTATATCCAAGGATGGAATACTCCATCGAATCCAACTCAGCTTAGTGAAGGATTGGATAAACCTTTTTAAACGACTTGGTCTCAGAGACCGTCTTCCACCACTGTTTAGTCTTCGGTCCAACATTGAACTCAGGGTCTGACTTTCGAATCAACTCTTCCAACGGCCCAAAGTTGTGAATATCAGTCGGCTCTGTTCCAGCTCCCCGCATGGCATGCGAGAGCCAGGGTATGACGTGAAGGTCGGCTTCTGTGAGAGAGTCTCCGGCAGCGAAGGGGAGCACGAGAATGTCCTCAAGCTTGGTCATGCCGGATGCAAAGGTGCGGTACTGATAATGAGAGATTTCGAAAAATTGCTGGTGATCGATGCCAATCTCCGCGGCATAGAGTTTATTCAGTGCCTCATTCTCTTCCCTCTTGAAGCTGTAGAAAGCATTGTCAGGTGCTGCCTTGTGTTCCTGCTCGAGCTTGTTCTGTCTGTTCTGGAGAAAGTCCTTCCACTTGCTGGCTTTCTTTGCCTCCATCTCCTTGGTATCACGAGCATCAAAGAGGATGACATTAGTGTTGACGTCTGCAGAGTGAACGTGATCGATGATTTGCTGCGCCTTTTGTTGCACCTTGGAGTCTTTGGGTACGAGAGTGGCTTCACCCAGGCTGTCTACGTAACGGAGGATGTCCATGCTCTGTACGAGGGGCTTTTCGAGGGCAGAAGACACCAGGGCTGGGATGGTGCCATGGGGGTTGATCTTGAGATATTCTGGCGCAAAGTTCTCAGCTGCCGCTAGGAAATGTGAATATTGATCCTGATTTGAAGGTGCTGAAACGTACCCAAGTTTATCTCCTTGATCTCATAGTCATCTGCAGAGAATTCCTTCTCTGCCAAGGCAAGATGGGCAACGCCCGCCCACTGAGAACCAACAAACGAGTAGAGAGTGAGCTGGGGGAAAGGTTAGGTGGGTTCAATTCTACCTGTTCTTTTCAGAGGGGACAAGCCTTTGGAGCCATTTCAATTATCGCAAAGGGGTCGAATTGCGATGCAGACTCTACGGAACTGTGAAGTTTGCTTCTTCAGTGAATGTTCTGCTGTAGCAAGGCATCTTATACACTTTTATTACCAAGATTTGTATTTTATTTCCAACGTCCAAGTGATTCCACATCCACACTGCAGAATCAGACGATTGCTGCAGTCGCCCCGAGTCCATTCAAGTGGAATGTTGGAATGCAGTCAGCTTGCCAAGCCAACTCATTGTAACCCCAAGCCAGTGAATCGCGAGTACAGGTTGCTACATCTGACAGTTACAAACAATTACCTCATCGAATAAACACAGATTCCAAAGTGTCATTAAACTTGCAATGTGGTTGATGTGCAGCTCGCTTGGGTCCAAGCATAAGCAGGACGCGGGTGAGATCTTAGCGCCTCCGGCAGGGGCCAAGGAGCACTGTTCAAAGGGTCTGGAACACCGGAATTCGCAAAGAAAATCAGGCCGACCCCATCATCGGTGCGGAATTGGCACTCGCTCTGCGCCGGCTTCATCGGAATCACGTGTCGGGGATGGTCCTATGAGGATGAACTGACGATTCTGGACGTGGAAAGGAATCTCGAGCTGTTCGAAGGAGGTTCTCTGAATAGCATCAACGTGGCGGACTCCAACGCCTGACGCCCAGGGTGGCAGTGAGTCGCTAGGAGACTGCCTAACACTAGGAGAGGCCAGTGAATAATTGAAATGCAACATTGATGACACCCAAGAGACTAAATTCCTGTGTGCAGCAAAGGGGTCTCATACACGCACAGCCGGCTGTGCGTTTAATATCACGTGACTTTTGCGCACAGCCGGCTGTGCAAATAAGATTCGTTATGTAAGCCCGATACATGTGTGTGTGAGTAAGAGGGTCACCCCTTGATCAATTGAAATAGCATTGATTCACGCCATTGAGAGATGAGATGATCACATGTAGCTACAGTCATTTCAATACATTACATATGATCTATTCTCATCTGCCTAGGACCGGTGAAGAAGACACAATGCCTCTCATAACACCACAGGCGCTACGGTACGAGTGAATCACTTCACATATCATTCAGCCCGAAGGGCGTTTTACTCAGTCAGAAAAAAAGAGCATAAAACTTTTTCTGATTGGCTAATTGGCATGGTCTATGCTCAACTCGTGCTTGAATTAGTCAGTTGTCAACGCTAACGACGCCACTACATGGGAAAGCCCGCGATCGTTGACTAGGTAACGCTTTTGGCAAGCTCTCCAGGAGCTTTAAGGTTATCCTTCAATCAACTCCGGCCTCCAAGCGCGATTCTAGCCGGAGCACCGACATAGCGTCTGCTTTCCCTTTGCCGTCAAAACTATTATCCACCAAACCTTACGAGGTTACTAACGACGTCTCGGCTCACATATCACCTACCTCCGGTCGAGCGGTGAAGTATCCCCTCCTTCCCTAATCGTTCGAACCTAATCAAAACACCCTACAAACAACCTCCCATATCGAGATCTATCACGCTACGGTACATCTAAGCAAACCCTCGCTGCCCAAGCGGTACCTACCCGGTCGTCTGCATGGGTAAGAGGCGGATAACAATATATGCAGCCGGATAGAGAATGATATACCCCAGGCAGTTCGGAACTGCCATACTTACAAGCAAGACCTGCCCGAGGTCGAGTTTCGAAGCGTCAAGGACCCTGCGAGGCTTACGAGACAGTATAGTAGCTGTAGGGCACGCCAAAAGGAGCGAGTGGCCGAATCCCGAGCCGCCGTTGCCGCCATGCGGAACATCGCCTCGAGGCTATCGCCGCGCAGAACGACGAAGAGGACCGATTCTCAGGCTCAATTAACGCCTCCACGGCGAAACGCGCAAGCGCTCATGTCCATCAATAGCTCACAACCCCCTGCAACGCCTACTATATTCCGTGGTCTGGCGCCCGTCCTCCAGGGACTGCCTAGACCTCTGCTGGGCCCATCTACCTCAAGCGCAGCGGAAGGAGCCCTCCCTATCCCTCCCACCTTAAGCCCGCCAAGAGTAGTTCTGGGCACGCCGATTCCTAGTGACACGACCACAACGGCTCCTATTGTGCTAGGCACGCCTGTGCCACAGGAATCGTTCCCTACCACTGCTTCATTACTGCCACAGGGTCATCGCCGCGGCCGCTATACACGTCAAGGCATCGTGAACCGACGGCCACGGCCACAGCTTCAAGAACGACAGTTTGATCAGATAGTTGATCCACCTTTTACAGGGGACCTTGATTTGCCTGCCCTTAGTGAGGAGGATCGGGCGCTTATGCGGGAGTTCTATACTGCCCTGAATGACGACAAGATGCATAGTTGCATTCGCTGCCGGGAGCATTGGTTCGATATGAAGAAAAACAGCTTAGGAGTCTGCAGCCGCTGCATTAGTCGAGATAGGGAGAGAACCGCTGACGAGCCCTACTTCTTTAGCGCTGCGAATAGCCTTGACTTCGGGGAAGTCCCCGGTAATCTACCTAGCCTAACGATGGTTAAGGAGATGCTGATTGCTAGGGTTCACGTACACATGAAGGTCCTACAGGTACGTGGCTCTCAGTATAAATACCGCGGCCATGTTGTCCACTTCCTTCGCAATGTTGGTAGGCTATTTGAAGAGCTCCCGGTCCTACCTGAAGAGCTAGATATCGTGCTCCTGCGGCCTCCTAATATGGAGGGCGACCCTCACTTCCAGCAGCAGTTTGCTCGCGATTTCCGGGTACGCCGCTCATGCCTGTTGACCTGGCTGCATTACCTACAGCGCCACCACCCGGGCTATCGCGATATCGTTGTGAGGCAGGATCGCTTGCAACGGCTTCCTCTTGACGGCAGCATAGTTGCTTCCGTTGCTAGCCAAGTGGCTAACATACCTGACGGCGAGGCCCCCCAAGGTCCCATTGAGGAGGATGTAGAAGAGGATCCAGCAGATGCAGATGCATCGGCGATCCCCGATTTGCAGGTTACAGACACCGAATTAAACGCCCTGCAGTCCCGATTGCTTCATGGTACCCCTGACCCTGAGCGTATGGCCGATCTTAAGCATATACCGCCTAACGCGCAGGCTCAACACCAGATGCCACTACCTTCCATTCGCAGGACTCCTATCAACGAATTCAACCGTTCCCAGCCGCTGTTGACGCTCGCGTTCCCCACCCTCTACCCCGACGGCAAGGCGGACTTCGTGGAGCCTCGCCTACGGAGCGTCACGTACCAGGACTACCTTGCCCATGCGATGAGATGGCAAGACGGACGTTTTGCCCGGCATAAGACGTGGCCTTTTGTCGCCCTCAACACGCTATTACGTGCGCAGGTCAGAAAGCGGAGCAACTACTCGGTCAAGCAACACGAAGGCCGCCGCCGTCAACCCCTTACGCGCGCTGACATAGAGGAAGCGATGGCTAAGCCTGACGAGCCAGAGGCTCAGGCCCTGATCCAGTCGATCACGCGCCAAGCCGCCGTAATCAGGGGCACCCGTCCATATTGGTATAAGCAAAGGAAGGAATTGGAGGCATGTGCCTACAATCTAGGCAGGCCTGGCCTTTTCGTTACAGCAAGTGCGGCTGATTACCACTGGGAGTCCCTATATCGTCATATGCCTCGATTCCAGGAGTGGAAAGCAGCTCCTGAGGCGGCGCGAATGGCTCTATCCCGGCAACTGCTGCGAGACAACGCCCACATTGCCGCTTATCACTTCCATAAGCGATATACGCTCTTTAGGACTATTGTCCTGAGGCAGAAGTTCAACCTAACGGACTTTTGGGGTCGCTACGAGTGGCAGGGCAGGGGTTCCAGTCACCACCACGGCCTATATTGGCTAAGTGGCCACCCGGACTTGGATCCCGATGACAGCCAGTCCCGGGAGCGATTTGCCCGAATCTGGGGATATCACGTATCCGCTGTCAACCCAGAGCCTCAGAGGGTGCAGGCACCTGGGGAAGGGAATCCCTTGATCAGTAATCTATTGGAACATCCCCTTACCGTCCAGTTCCTGTCGATGGTGGTAAACCGCGTGCAGCGCCATCGCTGCAACAACTACTATATGCAGCTCAGCAAGCATACCAAGCAGGTGGAGTGCCGCTTTGGATTTCCTCACGGGCAGCGCCTGCTAGCCTCCCTTGAAAAGGTTCCTCATTCTAAGCACTGGAGCTTTAGGGGCGAGCGGAACGATAGCCAGATGAACCACTACAACCGCTTACTTGCCGTTGCGTGGCTAGCCAATACAGATGTCTCACCCTGCACGAGCCTGCAGCAGGTGATCGATTACGCAGCTAAATACTGCTCCAAGTCGGAGAAGAAGAGTGAGTCTTTTGCCCAGATTGGGAAGGCCCTGATGCCCCGGGTCAAGGACCACAACCCGCTGATTTCCTTCACGTCAAAGCTCCTAAATCAGCTAGTTGCTGAGCGAGACTACTCGAAGCAGGAGGTTAGCCACTTGCTCCTCGGTCTGCCGTTACAAGAGGGCTCACGAACCTGCTTACACATTGATTGCCGTAATCCTGACATGCATTCCCGCTCTTTACGGATTGACGCCGATGAGGTTGACGAGGCCCCCAACGTCTACGAAAAGTACTATCAACGCCCCGAATCCCTAGAGGACCTGACCTATGTTTCCTTTCTCAAATACTGGAATTTCCACTCTAGGGACCCTTCCAAGTGGAAGCAATGGCAGCCAGCCAACGTCAACGGCAGGCCGCGTGTATTGGTCTACTTTCCTCGCTATCAGGCTGATCCAGAAGGCCAACAGTGGCCAGAGTACTGCCGCGTAAAGCTGGCATTGAACCACCCACATCGTCGGCATGATGAGCTCCTCATGTTTGACGGCCATCGTTTTAATTCTCACGCTCAGGCCTTCTCCTATTGTTGGCAGCACCACAGTCATGGTGATGACCATTACGGCCGGCCAAAAGAGGTTCGATTACAACCTCAAGAGGATC